ATTTAATTAAAAATTTAATCATTACAATAGAGTGATATCACACAGTGAATACTTAAAAAAATAATTATGACTGTATTTACTTTAGTGTCACTTTATTATGTAATCATGGATTAGTCATTTCATTGTACAATAGGCAGCGGTGAACTTGTAACCACATATAGACACCATAGNTATGACTGTATTTACTTTAGTGTCACTTTATTATGTAATCATGGATTAGTCATTTCATTGTACAATAGGCAGCAGTGAACTTGTAACCACATATAGACACCATAGAGTAACAACCAAATTCTATGTCTATTTCAATACATAATATACCAAATTCAAACTTGTGTCAAAACTTGTGACACCTCATAGTGACCGTCTTTAACCTTGCCTTATATCTATCTCTTGAGTGACACCATAGAGTGACAATCTAAATAGTACCTTGACCACAACAAAATTATATAACAAATTACTTGTTTTCATAAAGTGACTTAATTTCATTAAAATTTTTAAATTTTAAATTATAGATAAAGTTCAGGGAATATTAAAAGTCTCAAATCTAATATTTAGATATTTGAAAATATATAAATTAGAAAGAGAGAAAGAGAGAGTAGAGAAGTTAGATACAAAAACAAAAAAAGGTTGGAGAGAGAGAAAAGCAACAGTTGAGAAGGAGAGAAATGGTGGGGAGAGTGAGAGAGAAGAAGAGATGATATTGGATTATTAAAATTCTCAAATCTTGTATTTATATATTTGAAAATATAAAAAATGACAAATAGATATGCAGTTTTAATGGAAGATGACCAAAGAATATTAAATAGTAATGCTACATGGACTTAAAAAGTAGACTTGATAATCTCAACCATTGATTTTACTATAGGTACCAACATTTATTGGGACCCACTACCTAATCAATGGTTGAGATTATTAAGTCTAATTTTTAAGTTTATGTAGCATTACTCAATATTAAAAGTCTCAAATCTAATATTAGGTATTTGAAAACATTGAACCAATCAATGATAGGCATTAGATATCTGAAAATATAAGAAATAACAATTAGATATGCAATATTAATGGAAGATAACCAAGGAATATTGAAAGTTTCAATTCTAATATTTAAATATTTGAAAACATTAAAATTAAAAATGATAGACAGTATTTATGATAGGGATAATTAGGTAATACAAAAAAAAAAGAATTTAAAATGTGTACTTAATGACAATAATTTGATGAAAAAGAGGATTTACTAGAGTATAAGTTTGGTTGTAGTATTTAAAGTCAAATAAATTCTAAAAAAGGTACTTATGGCCAAATATCTGCTAAAAATTTGTTTGACAATAAGTCCATTTTGATCTTCATTGTTCAAAATACCCTCAATAATTATATTTAATTAAAATTTATTTGGGAAAACTAACAACTCCTACATTGAAAATTGTACTAGTATTTCAAATATTTCTCTATATCTATATATAGATTAAGACTATTTTATCTCTCTTTCTCTCTCTCTCTCTCTCTCTCTCTCTCTCTCTCTCACACACACACACACACACACACACAAAAAGGGTAACATTTAAACACAAAAAAATAATAACATTCAAAATAATAAATAATAAAGTTTAAACACAAAAAACAGTACCTTTCAAAACAAATTGAACATGTTATTTTTATTTTTTGTGTTTAAATGTTATTATTTTTCATTTTTCATTTTTCTAATTTTTTTTTTTTTGTGTTTTTTTCATTTTTCTAATTGTACTAGTATTTCAAACAAAGGATAGAAAAGAGATGCGAGAGTCATCAATATATATACAGATAAAGGGGGAGAAAGAGATGGGAGAGACATTAAATAAGTAGATGCATAAAAGTCAAATATACAAAAGAGATCTTCCCAAAAAAAAATTACAAAAGAGATGGGAAAAACATTAAATGGCTAGCTAAATACAAATCAAATGTATTGCCACTTCAACCCGGTCCGACCCAATTCAAAATCTTTTTCCTGATGGAATAAGGGCACGTGGGAGAAACTATCAGAATACACACTCATAAAAATTCAATCATATTTTAATTGTACTTACCAAAAGAGTAGTGTTCTCTCCCTCATGTCACTGCCTCACCAAACCTATATGATGTAAGTCCTCTCCACATAGAGGGGCATCACCTTTGAGACCTCTACACACCACATTACATCTCTACACCTCTCAACACACCAAGTCTCTTTCTCCAAAAGTATTATAATTCTCTTAGAGTATATTCTGTCGGTAACTTTTATTTATCAATAAAGATCTCTGGCGACCGCTGTCGTTTCTGAGAGTAGAGTAGGTTACCCGGACCAAACTACTATAAATTTGCTTGATTGCCCTTTGTCATCGATTGTTTTATTTATTATTCATTAATTGTACTCCTACATATATTCGACTGTTGATCTTGCGCAATACCGATTTGTGAATCATCAAACTTGTCACGTAATACTTAATATGGAAAAAAAAAAATTTGGGAAAACTATTGACCAAATTTCTGTCTAAATTTTGGTCAAACAACTACCCAAATTATACAATTTTGGTCAAGAGCAATCCAAATTTAGGTTACAAACTACCAAGATTAACATTTTTAGGTGAGGAGCTAACCAAATTTTAGAATTTTAGTCAAAGAACTACCTCATTATAGTTTTAGTCATGAACTATCCAAATTTGGTTGAGAGCTACCAAAATTATGTATTTTTGGTTTTAGTCATGAGTTATCCAAATTTTGATAAAAAATTACCAAAATTATATATTTTTTTGTCAAGAACTACACAAATTTTAGAATTTTAGTCAAAAAGCTACCAAAATTACACAATTTTGGTAGTGAGCTATCCAAATTACACATTTTTTGTTAAGAGCTACCTAAATTTTAGAATTTTGATCAAAGAATTACTCAAATTACACAATTTTGGTAATGAACTATCTAAATTTTGGTCAAGAGTTACCAAAATTATAATTTTTTTGTCAAGAACTACCCAAATTTTGGAATTTTGGTCAAAGAGCTATGCAAATTACATAATTTTGGTCATCAACTATCTAAATTTGGGTCAAGAACTACCAAAATTACACATTTTTCGTTTTGGACATGAGCTATTCAAATTTAGGTAAGGAGATATCAAATTACATATTTTTTTGTCAAAATCTACCCAAATTTTAGAATTTTGGTCAAAGAGCTAACGAAATTACACAGTTTTAGTTATGAGCTATCTAGATTTGAGTCAAAAGCTATCAAAATTACACATTTTTTGTTTTGGTTATGAGCTATCCAAATTTATGTCAAGAGTTACCAAAATTATACATTTTTGGTCAAGAGCTATCAAAATTTTAGGATTTTGATTAAAAAGCTACCAAATAACACAGTTTTGACCCTGAGTTGTCCAAATTTGGGTCAAGAGCAACCACAATTACACATGTTTTCTAAAGAGCTATCAAAATTACATAGTTTTGGTAATGAGTTATTCAAATTTGGGTTAAAAGCTATTAAAATTACACATTTTTTATCAAGAGTTACCCAAATTTTAGAATTTTGGTCAAAGAATTAACCAAATTGCATAGTTTTAGTCATGAGCTACCAAATTTACATATTTGTTTGGTCAAAAGCTACCCAAATTTTAAAATTTGGTCAAAGAGTTAACCAAATTGCACAGTTTGGTCATACACTATCCAAATTTAAGTTAAGAGCTACCAAACTTACACATTTTTTGTCAAGAGCTACCCAAATTTTGAAATTTTGGTCAAAAAGCTATCCAAATTACATAGTTTTAGTCCTAAGCAATCCAAATTTGAATCAAGAGTTACCAAAATTACATATTTTTTGTCAAAAGCTAAAATTTTGGTCAAGAGTTATCTAAATTAATTTTTTGTTCATATTTAAGTATCACATGACAAATTTATGATAAAAAACTATTAGCAATTTAGATGTTGTCTCTTTGAGAAAGCACCATACAAATTCAATACTTTAGAGACCAAAATGATTCAATTAAAATATTGAAAACTAAAATAAGAAAAATCTTATACTTTTGAGATTTCTAGTGCAATTAACCTAATAACAAAACATAAGGAGTTATTTGTTCGATCTCCATTAAAATCGTTGATACTCAAACTTTAGACCTTATATGGAATAAAAGAAGCCAAGATTCTAATTCTTTGAAGCAATTTCTGATGGATTCATAGAATGTTGATGTAAGTTAGGTGGAATAAAAGTTACGAATCGAAACGACAAAATATTGAATATCAGATGTGAAATAAAAGATCATCAAGCAATACATAAAGTCTAGTTTGTTTTCGATTTCTATTACTGGTATGCAAACTCAAATGCTCATTTGGAAGCAGCTGGTTGATGGTTTTGCATATTTGAATTTACTGGAAAAAGTTTGCTTTTACCCTTTTTTTACTTTGGATGGATCCCACTTTCTATCTTTTAAGTACCACAAGCATAATTTACATGAATTCAAAAAAGCTATTGATTGAGAAAAAACCTTCACAATAACTATTAGTAGTGGTCAGTTTAGCTTTCCTCTTGATGGTTCTCATACAATCTAATGAAAGAAGGGTTAATAACACTTTTGATCTTTAAAGTACGTATTTTTTTCGTTTAGTCTTTATTGTTCAACTTTTTTAATTTGGACCATAAATTATTCAATTTATATCATTTTGATCCCTACAAATATAGATCGTTAAATTTTTGACGGAATAATCACGTATTGATGGAGCCTATGTTCAATCTAGAGTAATACTATTTAGCCCTAAAAATTTGATCAAATTTGTTAACATAATGATGTGGTTTCATAGGAATCATTGGATTAACACCAAATTCTAATGTTTGATAGGATCAATAGTGAATCTAAGATTACAGTGAATTATGTTAGCAAATTATGTCAATAAATTAGATTTTAATAACATTGCTCTTCAATCTAAAGGTCATGCTGAATTAGGTTCCAATAACATTACTCCTATAAATATGGGGACATACCATGAGAAAACGGACAAGTCTGAGTTATGGTTCCTACCCTCCTGTTCTTCACCCTCCTAGTGCAAGTTTGCACAGTCATTACCCGAACATGCAATGGTGCAACCCTATCGAAATTGTCTGCCATTTTTATCTTTGGTGACTCATTGCTTGACACAGGCAATAACAATTTCATCCCTACTGTAATGAGAGCCAATCATTTACCATATGGTCAAAACTTCCCTGGACATGTCCCTACAGGGAGGTTTTCGAATGGAAAACTCATTTCCGATTTCATGGCTTCTTCACTGGGAATCAAGGACACTGTTCCTCCTTTTCTGGACCCAAGACTATCGAGCAATGACATCAAAACAGGAGTCTGCTTTGCATCCTCCGGGGCGGGTTTTGATTATACAACTAATGCTCAATTCGGCATAATCCCTATCTCAAGGCAGCCTCAGTATTTCAGGAGGTATGTGGAGAAACTTAAGGGAATTGTGGGGGTGGAAGAGGCTAGTAGAATAATCAATGCTTCTTTAGTGCTTGCTACTGGAGGAGGTAATGACTACATTGCTAATTACTATGCCTCTCCCACCAAGAGGTTTCAATATACTCTTACTCAGTATCAAGATTTCTTGCAACAGAGGATTGAAGATTTTGTTAAGGTTGAACCCCCCCCCCCCCTTCTCTCCCCCCTAAGAAAAAGCAGTAACTTAATGTTTTATATCATTATTTCTTTTGGTATTGTGTGAATTTACAGGCATTATACAATCTAGGGTGCCGTAATATGATGATAGCTGGGCTGCCTCCACTGGGTGATTATGTTGCTGTTCCTTATAATCAGAAGCTTGTTGCTCGACTCCAGCAACTGCAGGAATCCCTTCCAGGAAGCAAATTAGTCCATGCAGATATTTACACACCGTGGATGGACATGATCAAAAATCCATGGAAATATGGTAAGTTAATTTGCCTTTAATAGCAGTTCATTAAGCACTTTTTTTTTTTTTTGGAGCCATACCAGTTTCTTAGGCAGTCTTACAAGCACCAAGACAACATGATTTTCGAGCACATCATTTTTCAGAACATCAGTGTTAGGTCGAAATCTGATAATCAAGATGATAACCTTTGGTGTACTGAATTCTGAATCAGGTTTTACGGTAACAAACGGAGGATGCTGTGGACTAGGATTTCCATCACTGGTTTGTTCTGTACTCACCCCTTTATGTCCAGACCCTTCCAAGTTCATGTTTTGGGATTCAGTTCACCCTAGTGAATCAGCCTACCGATACATGTCTAAGTACTTGGAGGAACATGTCATTCCCCAGTTTTCGCAAGCATGAAAGCAGAAGATGAATATTGAACTGGGAAGGATTTTGCAGTGACTAACAAAGGATGATGTGGTAATGGATTTGTAGAATCAACAGTAGTTTGTAGTTCATCACCCCCCCCCCGGCCCGGGTCTCTCTCTCTCTCTTTATGTCCAGACCTCTCCTGTTTCTTCTATTGGGATGCAATTCACCCTTGTCAATCAGAATACCAACACATATCTCAGCACTCAAGAGGAGAATTTCGTTGCCCAGTTTTCACAAACATAAAAGCAAAGATTATCAATTTTGTTTTTGGTAAATGAAAGGTTATGTAAGCCAAACCATGAGCTTGGAAACATCTCGAGGCCAGACTATAAAGGAGTTATCTCTTATAAATAACCTAGTCCTGAAATAGATGACATGCTTTTGACTTAATCGGAAAAAAAATTAGTCAAATTATGCGTAAACTGACCTGAACACCCTGACTGTTAAACCCAAAAAAAGAAAAGAAATTGAATGGGGCGACAACACAAAACTAAGTCCAAAAAATAAGTACACATTGATTAAGCTTGACATTAATGGATATACACCAAACAATTGAGTCGGAAAAACAATGCGAAACTATATTTATCTTTATAATTTTTTTCATTTCAATAGGTATGAATACTTAAATATATGTAATAGTCACGCATTCGCTCATCGAGTAGAATTAAGTATCGTATTCTAATAATGGTAATGATCTGTTATATAAACTTCACAATATTGTAGATAAATTTTTTACCCTACCCCCTTCATCTTCTAATACTCATCCCATCAATTTGTCATTTGTGCTCATTTGTCGTATGATTTGTAAGTTCATGTTGCGACGGATTCTTGTGATATTCATGTTAAGGGATGAAATTGACATAGATTATCTAATCTATCTATGCCTCTATACGGAGATTTTGGGCATCCCAATATGTAACATAAGTCCGGATTTAAAGTTGTAGTTGAAAAGATCTCTTTATCCTCCCCATAATATTGTAACTAAACGAGCTCAATGTGAACAATTTGAGATGATCCCACAACAATATGTGACCACAACCTGCACTTTAAAGTAAGCAAAGCATCTTTCACTCTCATGCTTACAAAACGGAGGAGATAGAAAATATGGAAAGAAAGAAAGAAAGAAAAGAAAAAGCTATTGGAGATAATATGATAGGATTTATATAGATCCATCAATATCTTTTATTGGGATAAGATGATGATTGATTAAGTGATTATATTTATCTTGATTATTTTTCACCCTGTAAATAGGGTTGAGTCTTATGTACACAATCACCTTCAGTAATACATCATATGTAGACTATAGAGGTTGTTTGGATATNGGGATAAGATGATGATTGATTAAGTGATTATATTTATCTTGATTATTTTTCACCCTATAAATAGGGTTGAGTCTTATGTACACAATCACCTTCAGTAATACATCATATGTAGACTATAGAGGTTGTTTGGATATCGTTTTAAGAAAAGATGGATTGTACTAGAGAATACAGGATAATTCAAAATAGATGAATAAAACTTAAGATTAAATAGTGGATAAAGATAATACCAATTCTAGTCAAGTGTTTGTTAAATACGATATTAAGAGTTAGATAATAAGTATCAAGTCTAATACAATATTTGACTAGGTAATTTTTTCAATGGTATTAAATGACTNAGATGAATAAAACTTAAGATTAAATAGTGGATAAAGATAATACCAATTCTAGTCAAGCGTTTGTTAAATACGATATTAAGAGTTAGATAATAAGTATCAAGTCTAATACAATATTTGACTAGGTAATTTTTTCAAAGGTATTAAATGAGTGGACTAAAATACCTTCAATCATATATAAGTTGATTCCTTATAGCGATCCAATATTTCGTGAAACTATATCAATAGAACCAAAAGTTATGTAAATATTACTTATTGTGAATATTTTTAAATAATATTATGATTAAACAAGTATGCTTTAATTGTGTAAAAGTGTACTTCGGAGATATGTATTTTTTTATTATTAATATCGTTATCTATGTAATTTTTATTAAAATAAATAAGAAGGAATAATCACATGAATTTTTCTTCGATTGAGGGTAAAATTATAATAAAACAATATAATACACGTAAGTTGTATTATAATACCACTACTCTTGGTGATATTAAAATAGCTCAATAGTAAGGATAAAATGTATTAGAATTATCCATATATGATATTTATCTAGTTACTCTNTCTATGTAATTTTTATTAAAATAAATAAGAAGGAATAATCACATGAATTTTTCTTCAATTGAGGGTAAAATTATAATATAACAATATAATACACGTAAGTTGTATTATAATACCACTACTCTTGGTGATATTAAAATAGCTCAATAGTACGGATAAAATGTATTAGAATTATCCATATATGATATTTATCTAGTTACTATCATATATAATATGAAGTGATTTTTTACATCCAAGTATAGGATAAACTCATATTAAAGCGTTTTAATCTATTATGACTCTTTAATACACTCCATAATATAACAACAAAACGACCCCTTCGATCCGTGGATGTAAGTAATTTGTCGAACCATGTTAATCTTTATGTCTCGTTTTTCTTACATTTTATTATTCTCGGTCTATCTCGTATTATAAAACTAGGGGTAATCGGTGTGTGAAGATATAGTGCATCGTAAATGAGAAATGATAGATTTGGGGTCAGAATTCAATGTGAATGATTTTAAGAGAGATATTGGTAGCCGTTAAATAAATTTATTTGGTACCATCNTAGGGGTAATCGGTGTGTGAAGATATAGTGCATCGTAAATGAGAAATGATAGATTTTGGGTCAGAATTCAATGTGAAAGATTTTAAGAGAGATATTGGTAGCCGTTAAATAAATTTATTTGGTACCATCAGATGAATTTATTGAAACACATCCTATTTTGTATTGTGAATTCTTCAATTAACAACCGATGAATGCAATACCAAGGGGGTGAGCTTGCAGCCCTTGACTGTGGCAGCTATGCCTAAAGTTGGTGATGCCAAGTACATTTGTAATCTGACATGACTTTAAATTTGATCCAAAATTTTAATCAATATAACATTACTGATCTTGAATACCAATGATGAGATATGTCGAAATCGTNACTGTGGCAGCTATGCCTAAAGTTGGTGATGCCAAGTACATTTGTAATCTGACATGGTTTTAAATTTGATCCAAAAATTTAATCAATATAACATTACTGATCTTGAATACCAATGATGAGATATGTCGAAATCGTGAACAACAAAAGCATTAATTTCCTGTCTAAATATTGATGAATTTAAATGAATCTTATTATATTATTTCACTCTTTCTTACTTACATTAGATAATCACGAAACCATTACAGTTGTAACAAAAATTATGGCTCTTTAAAAACACAGGACATTGACTTCTTATCTACTTGAATAATAACTCGGGCCACATACGTAAGAGTTCTTTTATCTTAGTCAAAAAGCCGAGAAAGATATATAAAATCTTAGCATCCATATTGAAATAAATCATTGGACATTATTCTCTCCCTGTCCATGATTCGTTGCATATAAATCTTATTACAAAAAAAATTAATTAAACATATCAAAATCTCTTCCAAAATGTTTTAAATTGTGAGAAATATAAACACAAACTACTTAGATTAATGAGTTCCACTCATTATGAAATTGTTCATGAATGTGTCACGTCTTTATTGCTCCTAAGAAGTGCACTAATGATNGCATATAAATCTTATTACAAAAAAAATTAATTAAACATATCAAAATCTCTTCCAAATGTTTTAAATTGTGAGAAATATAAACACAGACTACTAGATTGGTGAGTTCCACTCATTATGAAATTGTTCATGAATGTGTCACGTCTTTATTGCTCCTAAGAAGTGCACTAATGATGCTTTTCCATCTTGGATAAGTTTCCTATAATGTAAGGACTTTGACTATGGTACGGAATTCCGTACCTTTAATATTTACTCCCATTATTTTTAAATATATGTCGTTTTATATAATTTTTTTTGTTCCAGTATCTATCGTTTAATGAAATCAAAGCATAATTAATATTTTTTCTTCCAAATTTATCCTTAACTTTTCAATGCATTAGATTTAGTGGAAGCTAAGTGTCTTTCATATTCCTTTGTTTTCCAATACGTATTGAATAAGAGTATTTTAATCTTGTGCAATTATTTTTTACTCATATTAAAGCTATTTAATAGATTCCTTAATCCCTGTGCAAAAATCTTAAACGACGGATATTTAGGAACGGATGGAGTATTATTTTAATGAGTATTTTTATAATTTTTGTATGTTATTTTACAATAAAAAAATTTTGTCAATTTTATGAGAGATTTATCATTTTTGTGCGTATTTTTATTACTATTGTAAGTATTTTTATCACAATGTGGTAACTATTTTTACCATTTTTCTTCAATACAAAAAAAAATTATCACTTTTGTGAATGATTTACCACATTTGTAGATTTTTTGCCATTATTATAGTAATTTTTTTTACAATTTTTTTGGGCACCACACTAATAATAAAAACACATTCAAAAGTAATAAACAGACACATGGTATCAACAAAAAAAAAAAAAAAAATCCCACCATAGTCAACTTCATACTGTAATCTAATCCAATAATTCCCTCGAATCACTATCAATCTGTGTCACTGATACACATTCAAAATTTCCAATAATTTTGAACCAACTTTGGAAGAATATTTAAGGATAATACACAAATTCAGATAACAAATAATGCAAATATAGAAACTATTTTTCTTGTAATTAAAGATGATTTATTTATTTATTTATTTTTTATACATCTTAAATATGTGTAATTCCTATATTGCCTATTCATGTATGGAAATTCCTTAAAAACCATCATGGAAATCCGAATGTATTAAATATATAAGGATAATTTCTCGACACTTATTAATACTGAGGGGACCCACGCGAAATAAAATTACGTCTCTTTAACTTCCGACACTATATTGATCTTTTAAGCATCAAAACACCATTACAAACACTATAAATACTTGGTTAAAGAAGCTTTCTAGGCAATGGAACCTATACTCTTTTTGTTAACCTTCTTGGTGCATCTTTGCACCATCACCACCACCACTTCCAATGGCAAAACTTTGCCGAAATTCCCTGCCATTCTTATTTTTGGAGATTCAACTGTCGATACTGGCAATAACGATTACATAATTACTGCCTTCAAAGCAAACTATCGCCCGTATGGCCATGACTTTCCTGGTGCGATTGCCACGGGGAGGTTTTCTAATGGAAAACTTGTTCCCGACTTCGTGGCATCTTTCCTAAAGATCAAGGATACTGTTCCTCCTTTCCTACTGCCAAATCTATCCGACAATGAACTACGCACGGGTGTCAGCTTTGCATCGGCTGGATCGGGGTACGATGATCTTACCACTGCTGTCTCTCGTGTAATCCCGGTGTCAAAGCAACCTGGATATCTTGATGTTTACATAGAGAGGCTTAAAAGGATTGTAGGGGAAGAAAAGGCTCAAAAAATAATCAGTGGTGCTTTAGTTATTGTTAGTGCAGGAACTAATGACTTCATTTTCAATTTCTATGACCTTCCCACTAGGAGGCTTCACTTCACCATTTCTCAGTACCAAGATTTTCTACATAACAATCTGCAAAACTTTGTCAAGGTTACATACCTCTCTCTCTCTCTCTCTCTCTCTCTCTCTCATAGATACACGTGTCTATGTTTCACAATTGGGTAAATTTACAGGAGCTGTACAATCGTGGGTGCCGCTTAATGGTTATAACTGGGATCCCTCCAATAGGTTGTCTGCCACTGCAACGGAACGCAAAGTCTCCGATTCTCAGAACATGCATAGAGGATGAGAATTCAGATGCTAAATCTTACAATGATAAGCTTGAAAAACTATTGCCTCAACTACAGGCATCACTCCCAGGGAGCAAAATCCTCTATGCAGATATATTCAATCCTCTACTGAACATGACCAATGATCCACAAAAATATGGTAAAGCTTCACCACTTTCAGATTGGTTGGTCTTTTGGCTTTCTCTCTCTCATCTATGGCTATTACTAATACATTTCATGAATGTTGTGTTTGGCTTGTCAGGCTTTGTAGAAACTAGTAAAGGGTGCTGTGGGACTGAATTGCTGGGAGCAGTACCCCTTTGTGATATAAACTGTCAAATATGTCCAAACAGATCACAGTATATGTTCTGGGATGGCATTCATCCTAGTCAATCAGCCTACAAATACCTTTCTGAATACCTAACCAAGACACTCCTAGCCAAGTTTTCACAGATTAATGGCAGTTGATGTATTGTTTACATATATTCATTTCCTTCCTCCAAGATTGTAAGAAATCACAGNCTAGCCAAGTTTTCACAGATTAATGGCAGTTGATGTATTGTTTACATATATTCATTTCCTTCCTCCAAGATTGTAAGAAATCACAGATTCTTGTTAAACCACAGTGCAATTGCGCACATATAAGATTTTGCTACAAACTGTAGGAAAACCACAGTCTTTTGCTTCTTAATTTTGATTCACTTACGCATTCTTTTCGCATGGCTACAGAGTGTGCATGATGTCTAAGAAGCAAGGATATTGTTGTTCGATTTGGAATTAATGTGAGTAAAAAGGATACAAACTAAGTGTACAGCCCCCATATATATAGTAAATGAGAGTTACAATAAGGACAAAAAGGTAAAAAAGAAAAACTTAATAAAATCCTAATAAACTAGGCTGCTGCTATATCTTCAACACTCCCCCTCAAGTTTGGTGCAAAAATGTCAACTAAACCAAGCTTGACAACGGAGTCCCGAAAAATAGATAGAGTGACAGGTTTGGTAAAAACATCAACAACCTGATCACTGGTCCCCCACAAACGATAGAGTGACAATACCACTGCTAACCTTCTCCCAAAGAAAGTAAACATCGATCTCTATATTCTTCGTCCTCTCATGTAGTACAGAGTCAGAAGCGAGCTGAATAGCAGATCGATTATCACAATATAATGTGGATGGAGAAGTCACTAAAAAACCCAACTCGCCAAGAATCGATCGTAGCCAGATAATCTCATACGTGCCAAGTGTCAGTGCCCGATACTCTACCTCTACTGACGAGCGGGAGACAACTGTCTGCTTCTTGCTCTTCCAAGAGATAAGATGAGTCCCTCAAAAAGCACAGAAGCCCGTAGTAGATCGACCATCACATGCTCCTCCATAATCTGAATCTGAATAACAGGCTAGAGAATCGGTCTGAGATCTTGATGCATAAAACAATCCAAGTCCAGGACAAGACTTGAGGTACCGAAAAATATGATAAACTACATCAAGATGAGGCTGACACAGCTTGTGCATGAACTGACTAACTTGGCTGACTGCGAATGAAATGTCTGGCTTAGTATTGGCTAAGTAGATAAGTCTACCTATCAATCTTTGATAAACTGCCGGATCTTTCAACTCCTCACTTTCAGCAGTAAACTTCAGGTTTGGAATCATAGGTGATGATGCCGGTTTGCACCTCAACATCCCAAGATCTGAAAGAAGATCTAAAACATACTTTCTCTAAGAAAGAACAACACCCCTACCGCTACGGACAACCTCAATCCCAAGAAAGTATCGCAGAAATTCAAGGTCCTTCACATCGAAGGTCTTCCCAAGGTCTATCTTGATCTACGCAGTCCTAGAAACATCATCACCAGTAATAATAATATCATCAACATATACCAGAAGGATGACACACTGTCCAGAAGTATTCCGTCGAATAAAGCAGGTATGATCAGAATGACACCTGGTGAACCCCAATCGTAGAACTACATCACTGAAGCGAGAGAACCAGGCTCGTGGCGACTGTTTCAGTCCATAAAGAGACTTACGCAGTCGACATACCTTTCCAGCATACTCCCCCTCACCACGAAAGCCCGGTGGTGCATCCATATAAATAATCTCGTCCAGATCACCGTGAAGAAACGCATTCTTCACATCTAATTGATGAAGAGGCCAAGAGTACTCCGCAGCCAGAGAAATAATTAACCGAACAGTAGTCAATTTTNAAACGCATTCTTCACATCTAATTGATGAAGAGGCCAAGAGTACTCCGCAGTCAGAGAAATAATCAACCGAACAGTAGTCAAGTTTGCCACGGGGGAAAATGTAGAACCAAAGTCACGACCTGGTACCTAAGTAAAGCCATTCACCACAAATCTAGCCTTGTGACGATCAATAGTACCATCCGCAAGAAACTTCATGGTGTAAACCCAGCAACAGCCAACAGGCTTCACTCCTGAAGGTAATGAGACAAGATCTCATGTATGATTACGCTGAAGAGCGTCCATCTCTGTCTGCATGGCAAGAACCCATTGGGGCTCCCGCATAGCCTCCGAAATAGAGCGAGGAACCGGCGTATCTGATAAGGCTATAGTATAAGCTCAAAATGTGAGAGACAGATCACCATAAGAAACATAAGCAGAGATCGAATATAAAATTCTGGCGATCCAACCATAACGATCAATTGGACGGCGATCACGCCGCGAATAACGACGCCTTAAATCATACTCCTCCACTGATAATGTCTCATCAGGTAAATAAACTGGCTCAACACCTGCAATCTCGTCAACAGGTGCATCAATATACTCAACAAACTGAGAAGTATTACCTGCATCGCCTGAAGTAGAGGGGACATTAGTAGGGTGATGAGAGCGAGGGCAACGAACATACACCTGCAAAGGAAGATAAACTGGTAACTTTGTACTGACAGGGATGAGTGACTCTGTAGGGATAATGACCAATGACTCTAACTCCTGTGGTAATGAAAAATCAAAGGGAGTATCATCAACTGGAGGGGCATACATAGGACTGGGAGGAAAATAAGGAATATGCTCAAGAAAGATAACATCTAAACTGTGATACATATGTCGCCTAATAGGATCATAACACCGATACCCCTTAGATTGATGACAATAGCCCACAAAGATACAACGAATCGCTTTATCATCAAGTTTATGACGAGTAGGAGACCGATCCTGAACAAAACATGTGCATCCAAAAACACGAGGGGGGACCGAAAAAAGTATCCGTTCAGGAAATAAGACCTGTAAGGGAGCCTTATACTGAAGAACACAACTCGACGTACGATTGCACAGAAAAGTAGAAGTTAAAATAGCAAAATGTCAATAAGATTTTGGTACCCGCATGCCTCTAAGCATACAACGTATCATCCCTATCAAACTCCTATTTTTTCTTTCAGCAACACCATTTTGCTCAGAAGTATATGGACAAGTGAGTTACTGAAGAATACCCTGAGAAGAAAGGTGAGACACTAAGGCATCAGACACATATTCTTTGACATTATCCGAACGAAGAGCACGAACAATGACATCGAATTGTGTCTTAATCATCTGTAAAAACTGAGAGATTATAGGGAGTACATCAGACTTTCTATGCAAAAGGAAATTCAAGTACAACCGGTATGATCATCTATAAATGTCACATAAATATCGGGCACCTGACAGAGTAGTAATTGGAGAGGGTCCCCAAATATCAGAGTGTATTAGGTCAAATGGCTTAGGTGACTGGTGCATGTGAGGAATATAACTAGCCCTAACATGTTTCGATAGGGAACATATAATACAGTCAAGTTTACCACCAACACAAGCATTGCTCAAAGCAAAAAACAACATACATAAATATTTAAAATTTGTATGTCCAAAACGGTCATGCCACAATTGAACAGTTTGTGACGAATAATCATAACGACAACTACTAGGTAAAATACTAGCATGCAAGCTAGGAACAGAAAAAGACAAAGTAGGGGCAAGTGATGTAGGTGGAGGAATTGGTGAAACTGGAGGTGGATTGCCAAGATAATACAATCCATCTTTCTCATGTCCCCTGATAATAATCCTCCTGGTACTCAGGTCCTGCAAATAACACGAATCAGATAAGAATACAACCACACAGTGAAAATCTCCAGCTAACTGATGTACAGATAATAGATTCATAGCCAACTTTGACGCATGAAAAATCGAACGTAATGTAAGGCTATTTGGGAGGCGGACTGTACCTCCACTAACAATAGGGGCATGTGTCTCATTTTCTAACTGAACCTGTGTATGTAACTGCTCGTCAAAAGTGGTGAAGTGATGGGCCTCACCTGTCATGTGATCATTCGCACCCAAGTCCAACATCCAAAAGGGAGATGAACTGGCACAAGCGTGAAAGGCACGAGGTATACCTGTAGTGGTGACAGCAGCAGTAGTCAGACTCTAAGAAGTCAGAGCAGACATAAGTATATCTAATCGAGAAGTGATAGCATCCATATCACTCTGCCAAGGTGGAGCATTAACAGCAGGAGTAGCGGTAGTGGGTGGTGGTACCTTAGCAATAGCAACAGTACGACTGCAAGGAGGTGGCTTAAGTTCTGGATAGAGCTTCCAGCAAGTAGCCCTGAGATGCCCTGGTCGGCCACAATAATCACATTGACGGGAATCCCCCTGTCTGCGCTGATCTGGGGTACCCTGACGGCACTGATCCGAGCGCTGCCCATCCCTGACTGAGGATCCTGAACGAGACCCTGCAGCAGCTGCAAGGGACATTTGGTCAACCGAATGAGTCAAAGCCGCAACTGGAAGTGATGCAATACGAACTCGGCGCTCATGCTGCTCAATCATCTCATACACCTCATAAAGAGAAGGAAGTGTCAACATCGACAAGATCTGAGAACGAGGTCCCTCAAACTCATCACGAAGCCCCATAAAAAACTTGTGAATCCTATCCTCCTACTCTCGAGTATGCAAGAATGCTGCTCCCTCGCGCTCTATCCTCGGAATAGCAGCAAGAGGACGTAGAGTCTCATACTCAAACTAGTGTTGGGTCAAATAATCATAATAATCATGAACGGTCATATCTCCCTGCCGAGCATATGAGAGCTCTTGAGAAAGCTCATAAACACGAACTCCCCGTCCTGACTGAGAATACATCTCTGATAATGCGCTCCATAGCTTCGGAAAAGAGATATGAAACTGGTGGATCTTACAAATAGATGGCTCTATCGAGCCAAATAACCATCCAAGAATGACGCAGTTCTCAAAGAACCACACAGAATATCCAGGGTCGGCATCAGCTGGCTTTAGGTGAGATCCCGTCAGCCAACCAAGCTTCTTTACACGGCCTAAGAATAGTTGGAATGAGCGAGACCACTCAGCGAAGTTACGACCATTCAACAACTGTGCTGTAACTTTCTGAGAGATTATGTCCGGTAATGCTAGTAATGCAACTGTGCTAGTAGATATTGTATACTGGTCAAACATAAAAGTGGAAGTACTCATGGATGTCTCAACGGTAGAGGTCTCAACAGTAGGGTTCTCAAGTCCCTCAGTAGTAGTAGTCATATCAACAATAATACTTAAGCACCCGTGACAGGAAAATAGAGGGATAAAATAGGGGAGAACAATATACCTCCAGTCGAACAGTAGCGACAGATAAAAAAAGTCCAGAAAGCTCTCAAATATTCAAGTCACAGTGCCCAAAAATCCAATAAATATAAGTAAGTGATCTACTGCATCAAGAGCATATCAACTGAGAATAGGATTCAACCCTTCTTAAAAGGTCCTACGGTCCCAAATAATCAGGCACACAAAGGAAAAACACAAAACTATGACAAAGAGTGCGACCCAGTTGGTTCGCTGGGGTGAGTACTGTGTTGAGTTTGGGCTGGACTGGACAGTGGGTTTGTTTGGTGTGTTTTGCTGGGTTTAGAGTTCAATGTTTGCTCGGTGTATAGGAGTACGTGTTTTTTGGGTGGGTAGGCAATTGGTCTTGGTGGGTATTGTCTTGGGCAGTCGGCTGGTCTGGAGTGGATATTGTCTGTCGATGGGGCTGCTTAGTTGTCAGGGGTATTTGTTTATGGGTCTGGGCAATGGGTTTGTGAAGTCGGTGGAACTGGGATGAAACAGTCCTCTATATGTTTTGGTTGTTCGGTGGCTATGTTCCGTGGGTTTGTGGGCAGTTGTGCGCTGGTAGGCCAATGGAGTGGACAGCAACACGACGTTGTGCTGTCGGTGGAGTAGCTAGAGGCAATCTGTGTTGGCTGTCGGTGGTTGTGTTGCTGGTAGGCAGTTGGTGGTTTCTAGGACTCTGAGGCAGTGGGTTTGTTGTTGGAATACCAACAGTGGGTTTGTTATAGGCTATCGCTGGTATGTGGGTATGTGGGTTTGCTGTTTGTTGTCGGTGGTTTGGGCAGTCGGCAATAGTGTGGTGGCTGGTGGCTGCAACGTGGAGGAGGGGCTATGGTAGGGTTAGGATTAGGGTTAGGGTTGTGGCTCTGATACCAACTTGAAATTAATGTGAGTAAAAGAGATACAAATTAAGTATAAAGCCCCCATATATATAGTCAATGAGAGTTACAATAAGAATAAAAAAGTAAAAAAGAAAAACTTAATAAAACCCTAATAAACTAAACTACTGTTATATCTCCAACAGTTCGCAACTGAGTTACTTCACTAGCATCTAAGTCTTATGAAGCAAGATTTAGAATATGTCAAAAGACAAATCAATAGAGACATCAAGGAAACTATGTCAAACACAAATCTAGATCATCAAGAGAAAAGAAGGTTGCAACACAAGATACATCTCAAATATAGTGGATATACTACCACCATGATCTCTCTTGTCAGATCATCGGGAAAAAAATTATAAATTACATGATAAAGAACTNGGATCATCAAGAGAAAAGAAGGTTGCAACACAAGATACATCTCAAATATAGTGGATATACTACCACTATGATCTCTCTTGTCAGATCATCGGGAAAAAAATTATAAATTACATGATAAAGAACTTTAAACAATATTTCTAATGACAGAAAGAAAAAAATAACAAAAACACGAGTGGGATTTCGTTCACAAAAGATGCATACATTATTCAGCAAAAACATAAAATACCTATTTTGCCAACTAATAACTGGCTTTTCTTACGACTAAAATTGCCATGTCCTCCAGAAGTCCCATTCTAATCCTAGGATACCATCTCAACCAAGTAGCAAGCAATTAACAACATCAGATTCATAACTAAGAGGAAAGAAAAACTAAAAATCCGAATTTACAAGCTAAGAAGTGCTCTCTTATATTTCACTTTTTATTATGTTTGTGTAGCCATTTCCTGCTAGCACTCATGAATAAAATATGAAGAAAAGAGGAAAGAAAGGCTAAAATCCGAATTTACAGTAGCAGTTCAAGCACTCTCTTTTGCATATCCACTAGTTTCCTCTGCAACCTTTGCCCACTCATTTCCAATTTTCTCGGTATATGCCACCTGTTATGTTCATAATGAAGCCTAAACCTCGGGAGAAAAAAGAAACATATACTGAACAGCAAAATAATAAATGATGAACAAGAGAGAGTGGTTGCATGCGAGAAGTTATTACAGGCTGGTACAATTTCTTTGTAAAAAATACAAAACTAAACATTCAAGAGGATACTATCTTAGTTTTCACAAGTCAATTTTTGAAAACCCCACCCTTTATTAGTTTTGAAAATCCACCTATTCACATCTACTTAATGCTCATCCTAGTAAGGGAGATAAGAGATCAACCCACTATCAAAGGGAATGGGAGATTCCTTAACAACAAATGAAGCCTCCACGACAAGATAAGCCTCAATCAGCATAGCTATCTAGGGTGGTTGCAATATACACAATACACAAATCTACAAAGACATTAAGCACCAGGTATCATATTCTTGTCTGTTCAATTCAACTTATCTGATTTTAGGCCACAAATTTTTCAAAAATAAAAAACAGATTGATGTGCAAAAGGGTGCTACTGAGTGAAAAAGTTAAATAGCCTTAAGATTCTCATTGCCTCAGCCCCAGGCCAGCTGTTTATTGTCTTGCAATCAAGAGAACAGCATAAGGAGAGATTTACTAAAGAAATATTTACCCCCAAAATTTTTAATGAAAAATGGATTCCTATCCTTTGAAAACTGAATACATAGGACAAAAAGTCTATATAACTAACCATAGGCACACGAGGGAACAGAAAGTACCTGATTTATCACAAATCCCTTCAGCATGTTTACAAAGTCAGTCTGCCTTTCTTTGTCTAGCCTTTCAATTTCACTCCTGTTATTTTCCTGCAGTTACACCATCATTGGATCATTTTAATGCAGGTAATCACCAATGTCACATAGAGGCAGGATGTGGGTAAGAGTAGAAAACCAACACAGGGATAGGAGGCAAGTCTCTCCACATTTTAAAGTTGGGAAAGCCACAAAACAGGAGAACTTGCAAAATTCACAGACAAACTAACCAGAAGGGGAAAGGGGAAACATAAACGGACAAGGGGCGGCGAGCATTTTCTCCTTTGGAAATGATAATTACCTCCCTATTGCCAGTCATCTTTATTCAAGAAAAGTTTAGATGGTTGGTGGTTTTACTAACTGCATCATATCTACACTCACATCCATTACGACCAGATCATCCACACTGACATGCTCAAAAAAATACACCAGCAATCCTCTAAACCAATGAAAATGAAGATATTAAGATACTGTCCCAACCATGATTCAAGCTGGAAACTCATCTTACCAATCCTGTCTATTTCCTTCAAGGGCTATATGTACGTGCTCAACACCCATTCCCACAAAAAGGTGTTGCTTAAGCGAGGGATTCATGAAAAGATTCAGATTTCAGACTGCAAATTTTGATGACAGCAAAATGTATTTGGTTTAACATGTGTATCTGGAATTAATCCTTTTTCAGTCCATTTATGACACAGCCAAACCACATTAGCAATCTTGTACCAAAGCAATTGAGCATAGTCTTATCGTCTACTACATTAGGACAGGATGCCCACCATTAGACATTCCTCGCATTAAGCCCAACCTCCAAGGTATATAGTTCAGGCCATCCGTGGAAAAAATATTTTCATTCATAAATGGTTTAAGGTAAGGCTAGCAAATGCCCTAAAAATCCATTTCTCATTCTCTGAATGATTACTAAGAAGGGAAGGTTGGGGAAAAGGCTGCCCAGAGATCTATAAAAGAATGAGATATGGGAAAAGATTGAATAGGTACCAAATAGAAGAGAAAAATTTTATCAGATGGCTGTAAGGTCAATGATGCTTCATGGAATTAAATGCCCGGTGATAATGATGCTTCGTGGAATTAAATGCCTGGTGATAAATACTTTATAACATGCACCATCTTTAGAAATAAGTGTAGCCAAAACTAGAGGGGTACCACAGAGCAAAGAATTAGAAAAGTCGCCTAAGATGCACGATCATTTGCAACAAGCACTGGTGCATAAATCTCTCAGAGTGAATATATTCAAAAATAAAATAATGTTGGGAAAATTGAGGAAAACACACAACACAAACAAAAAACAGAAAAAAAGGCTCGACAAGTGAAGACGCAATTGACATTTAGATTAACAATTTGATCCAAGAAGGAGATGCCTTGCAGGACAAATATTAGAGCGGCCATCTTAAGGTTGTTGGAACTTAAGGCTGGTCAATTTAATTTAGAAATCGATAATAATAAAAGTAATTAAAAATACTACTAAAACATATGCTTCCCCAAAATAATGGCAAGATAAAATGTTGAAAATGATGAGTACCAACTAGGAAAAATATTAAAAAATGCCGTTATTAGAATATGGATATCATAAAGAGCGAGGACGTATTAGGTAAGTCATCCATATGCTCAAGCACTAGCCACAATAACCATTGTAGGCATTTTCAGACCTGAACTGAATCATATTGAAGTCCCTTTCATAATCAGAATGCATAGCTAGCTCCGAAGGATCGGAATCCAAGGCCGTTGGAGTGCAGGGAGCTACTTTTACAAGAAATTCCTGCCTTCAAACTTCTATATATTCATTCAACAAAAGCACAAAAGAGAAATCCAGACTTGATAAGTATGCAATTTTCCTAGATGGTTGGCCTATGCACAAATGTGAAATAAAAAATATTGCAATACCTTGATCCGTTCATATTCTCTGATGGCACAGTTTTTAGCATCCCCGCTGACTCTAATGGCTTCCTTCAACTCTTCCAGTTTACGAGTCCTTGACTTGTCACCACCAAATGTCTTGGATGATGCCGTTTCAAGTTTTTCAACTTTCAAGCTCAAAGAAGACAACTCTGATACAAGAGTTTGTACAGTCAATAAAGCACTTGAACGATCCGAGAATGCACTGTGAACCGCTAACATTAGACCCAAATATTCATGCAATGCATCCTGCAATATAGATAAATATATAGACGTCATTGTACGAATAGTAGATTTTTATCTTAGAGCACCGGCACCTCAATTCAAATGGCTTAATTTGGCAATTGTTCAATATGAGGGGGCTTACTTTAAGAACATCTATTGACCCAAAACAAAGTTGGNTGTCATTGTACGAATAGTAGATTTTTATCTTAGAGCACCATCACCTCAATTCAAATGGCTTAATTTGGCAGTTGTTCAATATGAGGGGGCTTACTTTAAGAACATCTATTGACCCAAAACAAAGTTGGAAACAAAATTCAAACTAGAATTCATAACAAAAGTGCGCAGAGTTTACCAAATGCTTGACAGTTTGTGCATTTAGTTCCCGAAAAAATCTGCTTGCTTTCACAGCCGCAGTTGCCACATTTTTCATATCAGCAGCCCGTTGTCTTTGAGTATTTAAGACGGCCTGCTCATTCTCGAATTTTGTTAACTTAATAAATGCGAGCCCGAACTCTCCCATTGTTTCTCCCATGTCCTGCTGAGCTTTGACAAGAGATTCCGCCTAAAGGTACAAGAGAAATATTACTCTTCTCATGAACAAGCAACCAAACAATCATCTAAAACTTAAAGTACGGATCTGACTACGTGATTGCATATAATGACATAATAACAGCAATAAGGTGAACCAAAATAACACCTGCTGAGACGCATTGCTGAGCTGCTGCTCGAGATTATGCAACCTCTCTTTCTTCAACAAAAACTCTTTATCATCCTCCTCCACCGGAGACCTAGACGCACCCCAATCATTAGTCACGGACTGCTTCAACTCCTTAAATATCCTAAGTAAATCCCTCCCACCTTTCGCCGGCTGCACCACATCCTGCGGCCCAATCACACTACCGGAATCCCCAAACAACTGTTTCGGAAGCTTCACCGCCCCGTCCAGCATCCTCGACGCCACATCAGTGCTCGTCGGTAATGGCAATTTCCCCTGAACCTGCAAAAACACTCTCAGCTCATCACTCTTCTTGATCATAGGATGCGCAGCCAATTTCTGTAGATATTTCTCCAATGCCAATCTTCTCTGCTCCACAAATTCTTGCTTTTGCATAACTTGACTCTCCACTACATTCTTGTCCGGCCTCGGCGGAATGAAAAACCCTCTATACGCTTCACTCAACCTGTCCGATAACGTTACCACATCCCTAAACCGCCTCCGAACGTTGAATTCAGATCCCTCGAAGTCCAGTATATTGGTTTTCGTCGTAATTAGATATGACACATATGTATTACCTCCAGGAACAATCGAATTCGACGATTCAAGCTCTTTCTGTGGATTTGAAACCGTAATTTTCAAATATTCGGAGCTCGAAAGCTGTGACCTTGACAGTACCACCGATTGGCCTAAATCTTTCTTAGGGCTTTCGACGCCGTTGACTTCAATATCAGTACTATCTTCCAATGGATTGAAAACTACGTTGGAGTATGATGGAGATTCAATATATGAATTGGTGGGTTTGAGAGGTGGCGATGGTGGGGAGAGGAGTGGATCGGTGTGGGCGGTGGTGACGAGAGAGAGGGGGTGGTGAGATTCCGATAGAGTAGTCATGGCACTTCGGTAATTAGAAAAGGATTTTGAGGTCATTGTCAAAGAATCGTCGATGACGAGACTTTCCATCTCTTCTCTTGATGCGTAGAGATGGGCGGCTTCTTGGTTATCCGACCCCATCATCTTTATTGATCCAAACAAAGCCTAACGCTTCGTCTATTCAGATTGAAATCTGAATCGAACAACAAAATAAGAACATGAAGATTGATCTGTGTTAGGGCTTTGATAAGAGTGGTGGAAGAAGATAGTGAAAAGAGAAAACAGTTTGGGGTTGGTTGGTGAAGGTAATTATGGTGAAGGATAACTTGCGCCGGAGATGACTTTGTATTTAATGCCACTATGCCAAAGCTGGAAGAAGATAGAGGAAGGATGCAGAGGGAGAGAAAAAAAAGTTCACCAGTGGAGTATTTGTTTGGCACGTGTTTTTCAAGACGAGAGAAAAAGAAAAAAGAGAAGTGAGTGAATTGGATTCCTGTTGAATAGAGTCCGGAATTGAGGGTGTTTGGATTTGTCTTTGGTCACTGGTCAGCAAGCCAGCAAGGGCTTTTTTGTGTTGCATGTTTTTTCTTTTCTTGGAGAGAGTCTCAGAATATGTGTATAAATATATTATTTACATTTTCAATATTCATGAAAATTAGTACCGAAAATAAAAAATATTTCAATTTTTTTTCTTGTTTGTTAATTCAATAAGTACTATGGTGGGTTCTACAAATAACTATCTATTCTATTACATCTTGTATAATAAACATATAAATTTACCCTTAATATCATTAATTTCATTACTCCATTCCAAATATATGTACAGAAAGATTTTGTTAAAAAAAAATTAAAAAAAAACAATGACATTATATACTTAAACATAATATAAGAAAAAAAATAAAAATAAAAATTTAAAAAAAATAATTAAGAAAAAACAGTGATATCGTAAACTTAAATATAATACAAAAAAAAATCAAAAAAAAATTGGTGACATCGTATGTTTAAATATAATATAAGGAAAAAAATTAAAATCATAAATTTTTTTAAAAAAAATTAATAAAATTAAAAAACAAAAAACCTTGGTGGTGGCTAAATCTCATACTGACATCAAATACCGAAGGATAATTCAGCCATTAATCTCCTTAATACCGTTGATAAATCAAAAAAATAATACCACCTCCTATGTGATATAATACTGTAGTTAGCAGGTCAGTATTGCAACCCAAAAAATATTACTACACAAAAAAAGGGTAAGGCAAACAATGTATATGTACTATTTTTCCTAATTCCACCACCTTGATACAACCATTATCCTTAAACCAAACATGCCCTAAAGTCCTTCTTCAATAAATTCACTTATGTTAATTCAAACATTTTAACCCACAAAATGTTCGGTCGGAAAGTATTTATGTAAAATATATTTTTACCCCTTGTAAACCCAAATATAAATACCATACATGGGTTTGGATTGAACTAAGTTAGTACTTGGTAATTCATCATTTATGTTATGTTTGATATGTTAAAAAGATGGAAGGATGGAAAGTTAGAAGGATGGAAAATTTGATGAATAAATAAAACATCATGTTTGGTAAAAAATGAATGTAGGAAAGATGAAAAAATAAATGGATTAACTTTTCTTGCAACTCACTAAAATCAATTCCTCTAAAATCGGAAGGAAAGTGAATGAAAAGTTAATTATTTGTGTTGAGATATATCTTATTTGTCTATATATCTTTTTATATATACATATATTATGTATACATGATAAAATATGTATTTATATATATTTTAAAAATTAAAATTAAAAAAAATTCATCTTAATTATGGGTAAAATTTTTTGACTCAACACAATAACACAACTCGAACTCGACACGAATTTTATAACACAAATTTGATTATAATTCGACATGAATTTAAAAATGACTTGACACACGAACAAAAAATATAAACGATCATATTCAATTCAACCCGTCAAATTCAAAATCGGCCCTATCAACTCGTTTATTTAAAAATAAACACTTTATCTATTTTTTCGTTTGTATAATAACACAAAATTAATACAAAAACTAACCTGTTTAATGTGGATTCAATTAAGTGAAAATAGAATATTAGTGTTAAATTTTTTATTCAAAGTTTATGTGTGTCAACACGAACACGATATAAAAATAAATATATCAACTCGACACGATATAATTAATTAAATGAGTTGAGTTGGGTTTGACTAATATTCAGCATCAAATCGTAGTGACTTAACACGACTCGATTGTTACCCTTAATCTTAGCCAGCACAAAAAAAAAATTAATTATTTTTATTTTTCATCCACCCCACCAAACACAAAGGAAAAAAAATGTATTATTTTTATTTTCCTTCTTTGAAAGATATAAAGTGTATACCTTTTACTTTTCATTCTTCTTACTTTTTCTTTCTACCAAAGGGAGCATTTATACTCTATCCAAACAAAGTGTTACATGGAATAAGAGTGAATCTACAACTTTTTAATACTTGATACCTGAACCAAACAAAATATAAAGAGAATATAATTTAGATTTGTATTTTTTTTATCCTAATGGATGGATATGGAATGGATGAGTTTATCAAATCCGATCTCTCCACGATTTTTTTTGGAGAAAATTTGACAATATGTGTATGTAGTTTTACTATTTTATAACCTCAAAAGTAATTTAAGAGGTAATAGGAACGAGTTGTAAACATCTTGAATTTGAATTTTGGCAATTTCTTAGGGTTCAGATTATGAGAGATTTATTTCTCATGCATACCTTAGTCTCGGCTTAAATGATCTACCTTTGAGCATAAGTTGACTGGCCTAGACACTATTACGTAAAACTAACAAAAAAAACCGTTACTAAATTGTGGCACTATGGGATTAACGACTACTCTATGTGATGTAATGAATTAATAATATTATTAGTCATTTACACGTACCTGAAAGGCACTATGTAACCCAAAAAAAAATTGTAACCAGTTGCCTAGATTTGAAAAAGAATAGCTAAAAAACATTCTTACTAATTTTTCTTTAAAAATGACCAGAAATATATTATCGACCATATCCTTCATATTAATGAAATTATCATAAAAAATATACAAAAAAAACTCACTAAAATAATACCACATATACAAATACCTCAAAATAACATCACATATAATTTATCACCACTGTCACCTTCAACTCAATAACACAACATAATTATAAACTCAATTACTAAAATTTCAACTCGCTAAAAAAATAATGTATTACTCAATAAAAAACATGTGAGTTGAAAGAAAAATGAACAAAATCACATGATTTCCATCTTTATCTCTTTCAAAGAGAAAAATGCAGCATCATAACACAACATTTAAGAATTCAAAGGCTGCCTCCCAAAATTTATTAGCTCATCACAAATAAATAAATAAAAATAACATTATGACGCATGAATTTGTACCAAAAAATGCATAGAAATACAAAACGCACATCTTGCTCAAGCGAAAATTCCTGCTATGAAGCAACAGATAAAAAGAAACCCCTATAAAGTAATTTTTGCAAGAAAACAAAAGAGATCAAAAATTATTGTTCATACAATTCATCTCAAGTCTTGGTACCAATTGATTTACAATTATTCCAGCGGACATATCACCATAATAAAACACCACAACTCAGAGTTTCACTCAAAACTAAAATACTAAATATAACAAAAAAAAATTATGACATTTAAATTTAATCCCCTAAGTATAATTGATATCAAACGCACAATTTAATTTCAACGATAGCAAACTTTGAAATAAGAGTTACACGCATCATGTAATTTCAATTGAAATATAATTAAATTGATTTAATGCAACTTGAGAAATTGATCCCAAATTAATAGAGCCATAATACTATTCAGATAAAAATCAACATTTGATAAAACCGGAAACATAGTTTGACTCAAAATAATTAAGGATTCAATTTTGATAAAAACGAGCTTAGTTATGAGATAGAAAAATCAGCAAAAACCTGTGGATAAATATCATGATAGCGCAAATGATTAACTAAAAACAACCTGCAAAATTAAAACAAAATTTGAACGCATTAGACAAACAGTAGTAGATAGCNACTTTTGGTGTTCGGTGGGCTGTCGTGGATTTCATTAACAGTGTGTGTGTCTTTTGGGAGGAGGCGTTGGTTGGCTAGGAGGTTTCGATGGCACTAGTGGAAGGATAGTGAGTGGAGGTGTTCATTGGTTTGGGGTAAAGGGTTTGGCTTTGGAGGTATTCATTAGTTTCGAGGGGCTGTGGTGGGTTTCGGTAGCAATGGAAGGAGGGGAGAAAGAGATGGTTTCAGTGGTTTTCTCTAAGTGTGTGTGTATGTGTGAGAGGATGCTAGGCAAAGAGTGAGAGGTTGAATAAAGATACAAAAGGAAAGAGAGGATCGGAGTAGGGGTTTTCTGGGTTGGGGTTTTCGGGCGAGGGTATATGGGTTGAAGTGAGAGAGAAAAATTAGAGAACAAAAAAATAGAGAGAGATGGAGAAAAAAAATTAAAAAACATAAAGAGTAAGAAAATCGAACCTGGTAACGGGGTTTATGGCAGCGACGCTGAGAGGGAGAAACGTCTTCAAAGAGTCTTGAAATGAGACGTAGAGTGAGAGATACACATCTTTAGAGTTCTAAAATGAAAGACTTCAAGGATCAATTAGGATCATTAAATCAATAATCGTTAAGAAATCTAAACTGTGAAAAATTAAAAATAAAAAATTTAACTATTTTATTATATAGATTATATTGCCACCGTCACCTTTACTCTTACCTCCCATCGCCACCTATATTTCCACTTTGTCTTAATATTATTAAAAAATTATTTACTAATATGTTAGATATGTTACAAAAATATAANAAATCAATAATCGTTAAGAAATCTAAACTGTGAAAAATTAAAAATAAAAAAATTTAACTATTTTATTATATAGATTATATCGCCACCGTCACCTTTACTCTTACCTCCCACCGCCACCTATATTTCCACTTTATCTTAATATTATTAAAAAATTATTTACTAATATGTTAGATATGTTACAAAAATATAAATTTAAAGTTGTTGAAAAGGATGATGGAAATCTGTGGCCCCCCTTAGACCTATCAGTTTTTTGTAGGCTTAGAGACTGACCTTTGGAAGAAAATAATGTTATTATTCAAAATAACTTGAATTATTTAAATTCATTATATCATATTTTTATCAATTTAGATTTATCAATACTTGTGCTAATTGTCATTTTTTTTAATTTTATATGCATATATATTATCCAATTTAGAGATTAAATATATGAATATATTATCTAATAAAACTATGTTAAAATTCAAGTGCAATTTCTTAAAATCAATTTCAACTAAGTTAATCCAATCAATCACATATCAANGATTTAGATTTATCAATACTTGTGCTAATTGTCATTTTTTTTTAATTTTATATGCATATATATTATCCAATTTAGAGATTAAATATATGAATATATTAGCTAATAAAACTATGTTAAAATTCAAGTGCAATTTCTTAAAATCAATTTCAACTAAGTTAATCCAATCAATCACATATCAAAATTTTAACAAATTTGAATATACATGATAAAAATAAAGTTTATTGAATAATTGAATTGTATTCCAATAGAATTTTTCAAACGAATTTAAATTTAGATTTCACTCCATTGACACGCTTACAATTGAGTAAATTAAACCAGACTTTTTCATTGATTAAAAGACTCGTCAACACATGTATTGATTTATTAAAAGACTTGTCATCCCACACATATGTATTTGAATTTGAATTTTTGGGTTTTATTTGAATTATGTAGCATTTTTTGATTTATTATTAGATGGTATCACTTGCATTAAAAATTTAATCAAACTTTAGGCCAGCTAATCTCTATTTATGCTTAAATAACCCAAAATTTAATGCAAAACCTCTTCATTTAATACCCCAAAANCGAATTTAAATTTAGATTTCACTCCATTGACACGCTTACAATTGAGTAAATTAAATTAGACTTTTTCATTGATTAAAAGACTCGTCAACGCATGTATTGATTTATTAAACGACTTGTCATCCCACACATATGCATTTGAATTTGAATTTTTGGATTTTATTTGAATTATGTAGCATTTTTCGATTTATTATTAGATGGTATCACCTGCATTAAAAATTTAATCAAACTTTAGGCCAGCTAATCTCTGTTTATGCTTAAATAACCCAAAATTTAATGCAAAACCTCTTCATTTAATACCCCAAAAAACAAAAGCCCTAGTTCACTCAATTGACACGCTTACAATTGAGTAAATTAAATTAGACTTTTTCATTGATTAAAAGACTCGTCAACGCATGTATTGATTTATTAAACGACTTGTCATCCCACACATATGCATTTGAATTTGAATTTTTGGATTTTATTTGAATTATGTAGCATTTTTCGATTTATTATTAGATGGTATCACCTACATTAAAAATTTAGTCAAACTTTAGGCCAGCTAATCTCTGTTTATGCTTAAATAACCCAAAATTTAATGCAAAACCTCTTCATTTAATACCCAAAAAACAAAAGCCCTAGTTCACTCCATTGACACGCTTACAATTGAGTAAATTAAACCAGCCTTTTTCATTGATTAAAAGACTCGTCAACGCATGTATTGATTTATTAAAAGACTTGTCATCCCACACATACGCATTTGAATTTGAATTTTTGAGTTTTATTTGAATTATGTAGTATTTTTCAATTTATTATTAGATGGTATCACCTGCATTAAAAATTTAATCAAACTTTAGGCCAGCTAATCTCTGTTTATGCTTAAATAACCCAAAATTTAATGCAAAACCTCTTCATTTAATACCCCAAAAAACAAAAGCCCTAGTTCACTCAATTGACACGCTTACAATTGAGTAAATTAAACCAGTTTTTTTCATTGATTAAAAGACTCGTCAACGCATGTATTGATTTATTAAAAGACTTGTCATCCCACACATACACATACGCATTTGAATTTGAATTTTGAGTTTTATTTGAATTATGTAGTATTTTTCAATTTATTATTAGATGGTATCACCTGCATTAAAAATTTAATCAAACTTTAGGCCAGCTAATCTCTGTTTATGCTTAAACAACCCAAAATTTAATGTAAAACCTCTTCATTTAATACCCCAAAAAACAAAAGCCCTAGTTACAATTTTTGTCAAAAGCACGTGTTGAATAGAGAGAAACAAAAGCCCTAGACCCAACCGCCCTCCGACTCCTCCTAAAGTACAAAACTCGCCAGAGGGGAGCTCCCTCTGTCACCGTATCCAAACACAAGATTAGGTTTATCTTTCACCCACATACTTGCAGCAATTAGCATCTTCCTCCTTATTAAGCCGTCGCCCCATAAAGGAAAGGGGAGAGAGACCCTAGCTTACCTAACCCTAACCTTGGCAGTTGATCACTTGCAATGTCGTCGAAATTCGGATTGGCGGGTGGCATACCAGAGCGTCGAGTTAGACCCATATGGGACGCCATCGATTCTCGTCAGTTCAAGAATGCACTCAAGATCTCCACTTCCTTGCTCGCCAAATTTCCTAACTCTCCTTACGCTCTTGTAAGTCCAATTTTCACGTATTAATGTATGTGTTTGTGCTTTACATTGAGTGTGTTCTTAACAGGCAGCTAACTTGCAAATGGTTATCAGATCGATCATTTGTAATCTTTATCTTTTTCGATCTTTTGCGAGTTTTTTGCCGGAGTTTATGAGAATTCACTAGCTTAATATTCATAATGTCAAAAGTATTTGCATGGTGAATAATTCATATCATGGAGTATTCTTGGTTTTCTTGATCGAGAGGAAGATTTGAAATTGAATTTGATTTGACTGTTACATTACACTGTCTTTGATATTTCTTGCGAATATTGGTTACATTGATTATCAGGATTATATTTTCTTGGTGTTTTCACGGTAATTGGGGCATCGGTTTATAAGTATGAACAACCGTTTTAGCATGTCTGTAAATAATGTTGTGGAAAAGTTGCAGTGCCCTGTATGTTTGTATCTACAGGATGCTAGAGAAAAATACAACACTACATTTTCTCCTACAGAAGGGATTTCATTTTAATTTTCTTTGTAAATTGCCATGCAGGCACTTAAGGCCCTTATCTTGGAAAGGATGGGCAAAGCTGACGAAGCACTGTCTGTTTGTTTGAATGCCAAAGAGCTGTTGTATTCCAATGATTCCATTTTAATTGATGATCTCACACTCAGCACGTTGCAGATTGTTTTCCAGCGGCTTGATCACCGTCGGTGCATCTTGTGAAGCTTTATTTATTTTTCTTTTTATAATACATTTAATCATATAATTACTTAATTTTTTTACAATCACACCAGTGGATATGGCTACTGGTTGTTATGAGCATGCTTGTGGGAGATTTCCAAACAACTTGGAACTAATGATGGGCCTTTTTAACTGTTATGTTCGTGAATACTCATTCGTGAAGCAGCAACAGGTTGACAGTATCCCATAATCATCTTTTCTCCCTCTATTTTGTTATCTTTTAAATCTGTGTATACCAGTAGTGCAAGGAGTAGGCTAACATTTTTCTTTATGGTTTCTCACAGATAGCTATTAAAATGTATAAGATTGTTGGTGAAGAAAGGTTTTTGCTCTGGGCGGTTTGTAGCATTCAGTTGCAGGTTCTGATTGTTCTCCTTTCGATGTTTCTTAGTATTCTTACAATGCTTTATGCTGATTTTTCTTTTCACTCCTTATTTAGTTATGGTCTTTTACTGCTTGCTTCTTGAATTGATTATCCGTGATCACAGAACTTCTAAGTTGCTTTTGTATGGGCATTAGGACTCGGAAAGTGATGAGATTTGAGATTGAATCAGAATAGTGAAGTATTTATAATGGTAGGTGAACAGTTTCATGCTACTGATAGGTCAGCCCCTCGTGGTCAGACATTAAAATTGGATTGATAAGTCAGAGTTCAGTGATGCGAGTTGTGTACAGCACCATGACAAGCCTTTTTATTTGTGCCGTGTCTCATAAGTCGCACCTTTTCTGTTTTTGAGTTACAAGTCACAATATTGTTGCATGGGGCACAACTGATGATTGTGGTTGCTTATACTTGGGGGGTGCTTTCGGTATATGCTTCCGATGTCTAGGTAGCTTGTTGGTTTTATCACAGATAGATTTCACATAGTTTATTGGAGGATGAGGATAGGGACAAATCGCTTCTTATGAAATTACATGATACAATGAGGCAGTTAGGAGTTCCGTGGTACATGTCAGACATTTAATTTTTGAAATAAGACAAGCGAGGGAGATCATCTGATGAATCAAACTATTGCATATAAATTTAGCAATTTGTTTTGCATGATCTTCAGATGTTGAACTAGTTATACGTGTAACGTTGCTTACCTTGAAAACTTCCCATGTGAGCCAAAAAAATATTAAAGCTGTGGATTTTCCCGAAGAGTTTATACAAATAAGTTTATGATTACTTCATTGCGATATGAGCGTTGCTCTTTGAGTCACATTAACAGCTTATTTGCTGGTGGAAACCTAGAGACTGGGCTCGTTTATTTTACTAAAATGAGATGACGATTGAGTGTAGATGCAATTACTTTTAGAGAGTCAGGAGAGAGAGGGAATTGGCTTCAAAGGCTAAATTAATTTAGGGGCAATAGATTGTAGATGGAGATCATCATCTTTGTTTTTGCGCGGTGGCTTAGGTAGTCTCACAGGTAAGAATGGAAAAATAGAGAGGGGGTAGGCTCATTATTTTCCCATTATCCTGAAATGCGAACTCAAAACCTAATTTGTTGAAACATCCCTACTTAAATCATTTGAGTGGGGTGGATTTCAATCATCTTATAAATGGTCTAAGAATGACTCTTTTATCAAATAGGTCAAAGGGGCATCTTTCCTACCAGTCAAGTTATTGCTTTGTTTTTCCTTCTTTTATTTTTGGGAGGAAAAGAAAAAAAGTGGGGGGGGGGCTTACCTGTGGAATACTGAACAAGACCTTTAAAGAATAGTGAACAAGTTTTGCTGACACTCTCATGTTCATGCAATCCAAAACATGCCTGTCTTATTTCTCACAGAACCAAAATATGAAGGATAAAGAATAGTGATCTTCCTTATTTTCATTTGTCACGTAAAATTCTGTGTTTGTGTGAAAGCTGTTTCCGTATTCATGTAAATATGTCGTACACTTTTCCAGCTGCTTATTTTGTGGGTTCTGAGCTTTTGGTAGGTTTTTTGCGGCAGTGGGGGAGAGAAGCTGTTACTTTTAGCTGAAGGTTTGCTGAAGAAACATATTGCTTCTCAGAACTTGCATGAGCCAGAAGGTGAACTTTAAATTTTTCAGTCTCCGGCAGGCAGAGCTTTGTTTCATTATTTGTCGTAGTTGTACTATTTGCTAAATGATTGAAATTCCTTGCAGCTCTTATTGTCTACATTTCTCTATTGGAACAGCAATCCAAGTATGGGGATGCTTTGGAGGTTCTTTCTGGAAAGTTAGGTTCACTTATAATGATTGAAGTTGATAGACTACGCATACAGGTATTTTATGGAGCTTTCTTTTCTTATTTTCATTTGTTTTAGTTGCTTGTCTATTTATTTTCCTGTCATATTGTTATTTATGCGACATATGCATGCATGTCTGAGTTTTCTACCATTATAATCTTGCATGCTTCAATTAGAGTCCAATTTTTGGTGTGCCATCCCAGATGTTGCTAATACGTATTGCTAACTACAACTTCTGCTGCAACATATGTTGGAATGAGGTTATATCAAACATTGAACCAATTATCTTGATAATATTTTGTAGGTTGAGGAACATCCAAATTCCTGCTCGATCAGGATAAGTATATATCGTGTTATTCAATGCTATTTAACTCTCAGAGACAAGAATTCATATTCTGTAATTACTAAATATCACAAGATTGTCAAACCTAATCATTTGACAGAAGCTTAAGGAAGCCCTCAGAAATAGCCTTTGAAATTCCCAGTAAAAGATGAAATCCAAGCAAAGGACTTAATTTAGAGTGTTTTGTACTCCAACCTCATGGCAGTTTAGATTCTTTTATCAGTTTATGCTAAATGAATTTTATATCCCTTGAAAGCTGTTTCAAATGAGGAGTGACTGTTAGCTGGGCCCTCCATGGTATCCGTGATGGAAATTGGAACTTATTTGCCAAACTAATCAACCTGCTTAATGTTCTGAATTTAACTCCATTTTTTGGGCATAGAAAAATTTTATATGCTTCCACTATCGGATTATCATTGTTTGAACTCGATTTTGTTACATGTTGGCTGTTTTTATTTTGTAGCCAATGTTTGTTTTCTTATAATTTTTACTCTTTAACTTCAAGTTGACAGGGGAGGATTCTTGCTCGGGCAGGTGATTTTACTGCTGCCGCAGATATATTCCAGAAAGTCTTGGAATTATGGTATGCTTTTGGAAGTGGTAATATGAGTAATATTGTTGGAATATTCTGTTTTCTTAACAAGCATTTTATTCGGTTTTAATAGTTATTTAGCTATGTTTGGAAGTAATAAGCAAACAGGGTCAGTGATTGTGTTTCAATGTGTTTTGTTTGCTTTCCAGTGATTCATCTACAGCTACCATGGTTGGACCACAGTCCAGTCTTTATTTTTTTTCGTGGCATCACTCTTATATCTTTTGGCACTCACTAAAAAGATAATTTATTTTTGGCAATAAATTTCAAACTCTATGTTTGTCAAAAATGTTTTGGGTTTTTTTGTTAGGGGGTAAGGGGGTAGGTTGTATTTGTGGAAATTGTATTAGAGAAATGAATGTGGGTAATATACCTTTTGAATAGTTTAAGAAAAGCCATTAATTGTCGTGGTACCGGAGATTCCCCTGACTTGTAAATCCTGACATAATTTTAGAATTCTAGCTCTAACAGGTATCTCACCGGTGGCTTAGGTCCCCAGAAAGAGGCCTTCTCTCCCTTCCACCTAAGTTGCCCATGTAAGGTTCAAAGTCAATCAAAAGGAATCAAGTTTGTGAAAACGTGTATTGGGAGGCGCATCATTTTAACAAAATAGTGTATTGTGTTTCGTAACGTATTGTGTATGTAGNTTTTAGAATTCTAGCTCTAACAGGTATCTCACCGGTGGCTTAGGTCCCCAGAAAGAGGCCTTCTTTCCCTTCCACCTAAGTTGCCCATGTAAGGTTCAAAGTCAATCAAAAGGAATCAAGTTTGTGAAAACGTGTATCGGAAGGCGCATCATTTTAACAAAATAGTGTATTGTGTTTCGTAACGTATTGTGTATGTAGTTTTGTAAAAGATATTAAAAAATACATATACCATAGGCTATAACAAAATGTCATAATAACATTTCATTGCACCAAAAATTTCTCACATAACATACTTTAAAGAGACTACAAGGATCAAAACAAAAAATTAACAATCTAAGTATTGAAGTTTCTAACATAATTCATCAATATAAAAATTTAGAGAGTTCTTGTTCTAACATCTAAAATAGCCCAAGAAGAACACTTTTAACAATCAAACTATTTGCTTCTGCGATGGAACGAAGAGAAGACTTTTATTTTTTAAAACTATAGATGGTGAAACGATGTTGTTTCATTACCTAGTTTTGGAAGAACTAGTTTCAATTGTTTTGTTGGACGACTCATACTTATTGTCTTGTATCGGGTGTATCGTATCGTGTATTCAAACTAATACACTTGTGCGATACATATAATTTTCTTCATGAATCGAAATGTATCGCATATCGTACGAAACTAACAACTATAATAACAACTATGAAGGGAATAGTTAAGCTTCATAGGATTTTTTTATCTAGGNTGTGTATTACACGATACGATGCAAACTAATACACTTGTGCGATACATATAATTTTCTTCATGAATCGAAATGTATCGCNCGTGTATTCAAACTAATACACTTGTGCGATACATATAATTTTCTTCATGAATCGAAATGTATCGCATATCGTACGAAACTAACAACTATAATAACAACTATGAAGGGAATAGTTAAGCTTCATAGGATTTTTTTATCTAGGTGTTAGTAGTTCGCACCTTCACAGACATGTCTATTTTACCGAGCGTCTCTTCGAGACAGTGCCCAGATCGTTACAAACACTTACTAGATAAGGAATTAGGATTGTTATGGTTATGACCGCCATTCACCAGGGCTTCGGTTGCCCGTTTCCAAATCATTTTGAACTTTCAGCACAGGGCAAGTGCGTATGATGATATCAATGTGATTGTTAGAGATTTTCTCAAGAACAGCAATGCCTTGGATAATGTATGTTCAATAGTAGGTAGGTTGAAGCTAGTCATTCTAAGAGAACCATTTAACTCTAGCACAAAAATATTTGAAGATTTATCTTGATACTTCTACTGCAAGGCTTTTAGTCTGCTTGATCCAATCATCTATTTCTCTGTCTGATAATTTAGGTTACTTTTTCATGTTTTTGTTTAACCATTACTGATTTNACCGCTGCTTGATCCAATCATCTATTTCTCTCTGTCTGATAATTTAGGTTACTTTTTCATGTTTTTGTTTAACCATTACTGATTTCCTTTTGTTTGTCATTGGTTTGGCAGTCCTGATGATTGGGAGTGTTTCCAACAGTACCTGGGTTGTTTGCTAGAGGATAACAGTAGCTGGTGCAAGGCATCTAACAGTGATCCAGTTCATCCACCAAATGTTGTGGGCTGCAAGCCTTTGCACTTAACTGATGATGTAGTGCGTATCCGTAACACTTGCATCATGCGAACTGTTATTTCAGACATTGCTTTGTTACTGTATTTTTTTTTGGCATTTGAATTATGCAACGTATATGTGCAGTTTGATTCTCGTTTATCAACTGCGTCGGCTATTGTACAAAAGTTACTGGCTGAAGGTAGTAATGATTCTATAAGAGGTCCATACTTGGCAAATCTTGAAATTGAAAGGAGGAAGCTTCTATTTGGAAAGGGGGATGCTGACAATTTAATGGAGGCTCTTATGCAATATTTTGTCAGGTATTTTAAATTTGTAGTTTTCTTCTTGTCATTTTCTTTTGCTTCTTTTTTGTTTTTAATATTTTCCAATTCTCCTAGTGATTGCAATTTATTCGTTTTGGTGGTTAGATTACATGGGGTCAGCTCTAGCTTATGATTGTAGCTGTGAATGGTTCAACTATTAAAATTCTGACACATTGTGAACTTCTTCCCTGTCTATACTTCCTACCCATTGCCTTTCTTCACTGTTAATAAGCAAGCAAGTTGATGCACCATATGCAATGTTTTTGGCCGTTTTGCTCAATTTTATTGGGATGTTATGAAGAGTCTTTATGTTATGGTGTTTCTGTTGTGTTAGTGTGTCTGTTCTTGGCAGTAGGTATGAATATTTTTTAGTTCCTCTTTATATTGTGCTCAGTTTACTCTTCCCTCTCTCCTGCTCCAAGTCTTCTCCACAATTTTTTTATGTCAATCAAGTTGATGCAGTGCATATATGTACATATGTATGTGTGTGTGTGTGAGTGTTTGTGTGTTTATCATATTGTTACATCTGGAGTTATGACAAACCTGTTGCTGTTATAATTTCAATTTTATTAATTCATCAATATTAGGCAGGGGGATCATGTTATGTCAATTTGTGTTCTGAATAATTCCTCTGCTTGTGTTGTGCTCAATATACCATGTGATGCAGCCTCATTCTATCATTGAACTTTTCAATTTTGATACAGGTTTGGTCACTTGGCTTGCTTCACTTCTGATGTTGAGGTGTTTCTTGAAATTTTAACTCGTGATAAACAGAACGATTTTTTGGAGAAGTTAGTGATAAACTGGGAATCTCTCACCACAGTGCCAACAAAAGTTCTTGGGCAGTTCATTACACTTTTTAAAATCCGGGAAGTGGTTGGCAACATGTTCACTCTCCCTTTGGGTGGTATGCCTTCTTTATTCTTTCATTATATGGGTCTCACTTCGTATGGTTGTTTGATATTGGCGAGAAAATTCATGTTGCACCCCCTTCATTTGGTAGCTCACTGGTCAACACTATTGCAACTTGTTAGATCTGGAGAGAGACTTTTTATGAGCAACACGAAGAGCTCCAGTCCCTCTGGAAATAGGCAAACACACCATTAAACTGAGACAACTAAAAAACCTATGTCCTATTGCTAGGTGATAATTGAACCTATGAACTATATTGGGAGAGCATTTTTTTGGAACAACTTTAGTTCTTGGGATTCGACAAAAAATTTTGAAGGGAGGGGTTCTCTTTTGATGATTTCAGGTCTTGGGAAAACTTGCAAATGGGATTGCCTCTATGCGTAAGATAGATGACATTGGACTGTAAGGTTCCCCTAATGAAGCAAGCATAAAAATACCACATGTAACCAGAAGACGACATGCAGTTGTTGCGAAGTGGAGGGTTGAGAATGCTTTGCAACAATGCTTGTGATGTGTGCAGACATTTCATACCCAGCCATTTAAATACCTTCCACGAAGAGTTGGGTATCCCCCGTCTAGTTATTCTCGCTTTAGCCATTTTCTTAGTAACAGAAAGTTGTACTTTTGAGTTGGCTTACTATCAAGTGCTCCGTTGATTTGATGTTACAGTAATGTTAAATCTAGTGCCTCTATTGTTCTCAGGTATTGGCCCCTAGAGTAACTACTTTGTGTTTCTTTACCAGACCTCGAGAACTTTGCTGTGCAAATGGTAGAGATGTATTGTGAGAACCTTCCTCTTTCAAAGGACTTGGATGTGCAGGAGAGTATGCATGGTGAAGAGCTTCTGTCCATGGTCTGCAATGTGTTGGTTCAGGTACTTTATGCTGTCTCTTCAAATTTATATTTTTGTGTTAATTTTATTCTTTTATTGATCTCCTTGCAATGGATTTGTAAAAAATAATTCCTTAGAAATGTAATGTCATAAAGTTCTGGACTATGTACTTGCAGTTTTCCAGATTTCACCTTTGCATTACTTTGGATACAATACAGGGTATATAGATTCTTATTTATGATTGTACATGCATTTATTGGCGGGGGTTATAATTGTTTTGTTCTGCAGTTAGGTGCCTTAGTATTTTTTTTCCCTTAGAAGTTGTATAATTATATTTTTATCTTCTGGAAGGAAGTTTGTTGTTATCTTCATGGCTAACATTGACATATGTTTGCTTTCTGGCCATAGTTATTCTGGCGTACAAGGCATCTTGGGTATTTGATGGAGTCGATTATGATTTTGGAGTTTGGCTTGACTATCCGGAGGTTAGAAGTGTTTTGTTGCTTCTAAATAACCGCTTTTACAATGATTGATTCCTATTTTGTTGGTTGCAAGATTTGTTGTTTGTACATACATTTAGTTTTTTGCCGATTTGGAACTTACCCGACATATTTACTGATTTTTGTTGTTTGTACCATCCATTTGTTATGTTTGTTTGTCGGAGTCTACTTCAACTGAAGTTTATTACCAGTTATGGTGTTGTTTTGCTGCTTTACTCTCTCTCTCTCTATGGGACTTGCCTTTTCCCAGGGTCATGCCTGTCTTCTTTTCCTCCTCCTACCAACCCAAACCAACGCTCCTCCCCCCCCAAAATAAAATAAAATAAAAACATATAAAGTAAGATAATAAGCATGCATGCTCAGAGTCCAATGTTATCTGCTTGGGCTAAGGAAAGGTCATCCATATTATCTCAGGAAAGAAAATTTGAAGCTTGATTCAAATGATATGGATATTGCTTCATGTGACAGCTAGATTGTATGTAAATCGCAGGATTGGGCATCACAAATTACAAAAAGATCAATCCGTTTTTCGTTTTAGTTTATGGCGAATGGGTGGAAATGTGGCGCATGTGCCGGTTGATAGCTGGGGTATCTATTCTCTTTTGGTCTAAAGATTCATGCTGATAGGCTTTGTCCAATAAAAAAAGGGGTCATTATCCAGGGATGGATGGATTGAGTATAGATCTAAGGTGGCTCCATTGGATTTAGTTGTCAAATTTATAGGTCGTGAGGATCCTGGTAGGACCTCGACATGAACTTGAGATCATTACAGACACTTAGACCACGATATTGTTATAGCATCCAACTCAAAACTAATTAGTAATAAGTGGAGTGGCTTCTCAAGCACATAAACTGACCTTGGTTTGTCTTAACCGTTGGATGTGGGATACAACATTTGTTCACAACCTCTCTCATGTGGGACCCGGGTTCGCACTAGGGGCTAATAAACAAACCCACAAACATGCATACTGGGAAATTTAAATGGGCAAGAAACTTGTCCCCCCGGCCATATAAAGCCTAGTTCTGATATTATGTTAGATAGTTTAACTCAATCAATTGGCAATGAGTGGAGTGGCTTCTCATCCATAAACCAACCTTGGATGGTCCTTACCATGCGATGTGGGATACAAGATCTCTTCACTGATATAACCTGAAGTCTTAGTATGGTCCCTCACTAGGTTGAAGGAGCTCCATAGTCAATGCACCTTGTTGCAGTCACCAAAAAATTCTCTGCACAGACCTGGGTAATGGATACTGAATACGTAACAGAGCTCAAATTGCACAAGCATATGAGGACCTCAATAATCTTTCACTCCATGTTGTCTAGATCAAGGGCAATCCACAGCTTGTTTTGCCTTTTGCAAGGTAGTGACGTTGCGGATCCTTACAGATGGCTAGTAATGAAGGCCATATGCCATCAAACTGTTGGGTAGATAAACACACTATGGAAGGTGACTTTGACAGATGTAGGAAAAGAGAAAAACTGCAAAAACATTTGTCCAACAAAAATGGGCCTATTCTTGTGATGCAAGTGTATTTGCAGCAGAAGAGAGTTTCTTTATTGATTTCTTAATAAATGCTCCAAGACGAAATGAAGTGGCTTCTTCTTCATTACCTTTGAACATGTGCTTTATTTCATCTGATTTTGTCATACATCTCCCTCTTGTAATTTGGTTCTTCAGTGATACTCAATCACACTCCCTGTTCTAGAAAGTTACTTAGAAAGTATGACTGCGATTTTGCTTTTAGTGGAAACAAATATGTCTTGGAGATATTCCTTATTATCTTTTTTTTTGATGGCTTGTTGTGATTGCCTATTTGTTATACTGAGTTGAAAGAATCCTCTCCAAGTTGCATATTGTATTGTGGTTAGTGTATTGCTACCAATCAAATTGGTGTTGCTGTTAATTTGTGAATATTTACTTTTCTTCATAGTGGCCTTGTTCTGAAAGTCATTAATTGTTTTTTTTTTCAGGTAAATAGAGGTCATTAATTGTTAGTGTGCCTGAAAGTTACTTGTTTTGTGGGATAACATGTGCGTATATGGTCATGATTGGCAGATATGTGTGGCAGTACAAGATTTCATTGTTGCACTTGTATTCTCACTGGGGTGCTCTTTCATTAGCGTGTGAACGGTAAAGTCAATCTCTTAGTGGTTATTAAATTTCTAGTGGATGGTAAAACTTTGTTTTAGTCTACTGTTTTGGGTTTCATATTGATTTTTTGAATTTATTAGTAGTTCATGTTTTTAGAAGTCTTTATCATGCTTCTTACTGCTGTTTACGCATGATTACAACTCTTCTTCGCGTGTATAGGTATAAATCTTTGGATGTGAAGAATATCTTGCTGGAAACTGTATCGCACCAAATTTTGCCCCAGATGTTGTTATCTCCACTTTGGGCAGATTTAAATGATCTATTGACGGATTATCTGAAATTCATGGATGATCACTTCAGAGAATCTGCAGATCTTACATTTCTTGCGTATCGTCATCGGAATTATTCGAAAGTACGTATGATATTTGTACCTGATTATTTCTGGTGAACTTTTTGATGGCATATTATACCTTTAATTGTGTGCTACATTTTTCTAAACTCATGGTTACTCTTGAACTTGTTTGTTTGTGTCTAATCTATTTATCTTTTTGCCTAATGGATTTATTTGGTAAGACATGAATGTCCATCATCTCCCGTGCTTTCAGATGCTCACTTTTTATGAGGACTGCTAAGGTAAAGGGAATGATGACCTTGGACATAGTAGATATGGGTCTCCTTTGCCATTAATACTAACATGCAATGTTTCCTGTTAGATTATACTATTTGTATGCACAAAAAGTGTATCCAACATGACTTTCTCTAATCAAAAAATGGTGTATCAATATTAACTACTTGTGCAAAGATTGTTGAATTAATTTTCAACTGTGTAGGGTGTAGGGGCTGAGCTGAGGTTTCACTCCAGAAGGGGCAAAACATTAAATCAAACATTTATGAATTAATGTTCTAAGTTTAAGCATAAGAAATAGATTAAGATTTAAGATCAAATTACTATATGACAAATAAAACCTATGTCAAGAAACTTATATTAAGATGCAATTTATGTGTTCTAAATTCCTCCAAATATTTGCTTCACATCCAGTTCTTTGGTATTATTTTATAATATTTGGAGGGAGAAACTTGCTTATTCAGTAGAGTAAGTTGCAAAGATTGTTTGTCTTTTGGCATGATGATCAATAGCTTCATCACATGATTAATGTTTCCATGTGTCATTTTCACTTACCTCTTGTGATGATTTTAGAAATTTATCTTTAGAGCTGGTAATACTCTTAGGGCATGTTTGGTTCTGGTACAAATAAAGGATGGGATTGGGTAATTAGTTCCTCTCCAATCCATAAATTGGTGTTAACAAGAACACTATTTAATTTTATCCTTGTATAACAAGTTTGGATCAAGTTGGGCTAATATATATATTTTTTTGGTCAGGAGGTTGGGCTAATATAGAAATCTATAATTATAATACCAAATTTATATTTGGATTAAGTAATAGTGTATGATATTAAATTAAAAATGACAGAACAAATATTGAGGTAAGAATTTATATAATGTGTAACTTTTATATGTAGATGTGACTTTATGTTTGCAAGGATAATAAAATCATTGCATTTTTAATATTTAACTTGTTAAAAATAATATCACCTACTATATGGTATTCATTACTACTTAATATTTGGTGTTAAATGGCAATAGTAAACCAGGTCGGGATTAATTAAAATTAATATTGGGTCACTATAATATCATCCAAACTTAGTATTACATTATTACCGGATTAAATTATTTCAATCCACCCCCTTTAAGAACCAAACATACCTTAAGGATTGACAAAGTGAGAAAGATGGCAGGATAATTCTCTCCAAACAACATGACCATCTGAACTGGGTGACTTGCATTGTATAAGCTTGCAAAAAGCGGTATCATGCGCCTTGCTTCTTGCTTCTTACTCAATCCTTTCAGAGTTTTGACCTGCCTAACTCGCCCTGACTAAATTCTCTCTATTCAACATTGCTTTTTTGAGTGAGTGGGTTGTGTTATAAAATATGCTTTTCAAAGTTCTTTGTGGTTCTAAATTAACCACCTGTTTGCTGATTTCCTTTTTTCCCACCGGCACCTGGCAAAGATGATTTTAGGAGGGTCAAAAAATTTTCTATCGGTTTTTTTAGTGTTTTTTTGGGGATGAGGAACAATACGATCCTGAGTAGTAACAGCAAGGATGGATCCCCGATTACCAGATCCAATGTGGCTTTAATAAACTGGAGGTTGGCTATTGGGATCATTGGCCTTCAGAGTTTGGTCATATAGGGGAAGCAAAGGGTGATGTGCACCACATCTTTTATGTTATCTCTTCTGTTGGGCTAAATCTGCAACCTTCAAATATTTTTGCGGCCTGGTTGGGGGGGATGCAGAAAGGCAGAGATTGGTAAAGGACTTCTGCATTGATTGTGCTTGATTTGGTTTTCAAATCACACAAAGGGGATATAGAAATTGACAGAACTTTGAAATTGAAATTGACGATTTAAATAGGGACATACGGACTCATATTTCACTCTCCCGAGGTCATCAATGGATTTATTTAGTTACTTAGTCTTCTCACATAAAATTATGATGAGGTTTTGAACTGTAATCAGGCCCTGTTGTTTGTCTTGAATACTGTCTGGAAGAAAGAGGGTGGTCCCTCACTATGAGTTGAAGCCCCATGTGTCAAATGCTTCTCAAAGGAAAAGAGGTTCTCCCTCAATAAATAAAAAAATGGAGCTGCTTGTTGAAAAGCTTCTCACTATTGTGTACCCTGTCTTTCTAGCTGTTGAAAATTTGTTTGTGGGTTGGATTGGCTCTCAAAGGAGCATAGCATTTCGAAAACGGACCATTTTATTTTTTCAAGGTGTTTTCAATAACCAAAATTTGAGCATGTTGAAATGGGTGCTTCCCCTCACAACAATTCCTCTATTACGAATGGAACAAGAAGGAGGAGATATGTCTCAACTAATTATTTTGGGAATTTTTAAATTCTTAAAAAAGCTTTTTAGTGTTAACACTGGGTCAGGTTCATGTAGGAGATACTAGGTTTTGTTTTTGTGTTAACTCTTCTTACCGTTTAGTGCATTTAAATTTTTGTTCTGGCATGAAGGCTGCATTGAAAATTTTTGGAAAAGATTCAAACCATAGTATCTTTAATATATGTTCATTCCAGGTAATTGAGTTTGTTCAATTCAAAGAACGACTGCAACGTTCCAGTCAGTACTTAATGGCAAAGATTGAAGCCCCCATTCTGCAGCTGAAGCAGAATGCGGATAACATTGAAGAAGAGCAGGTATGTCCCCGCTTATTTGAGACTATAGATTGAAATTCTTCTGTTATTTATGTGTAGGGGAAGTAGTGAAAGTGTGGAGCAGCTTTTGCTCAACTTTGGCTTGAGTTGGGTGTTTTCGAGAGCAGGTGTTTCGTTATTGGAAGCAAGTTATGGTGTGTTTGGGAAAGGATGTAGAGTATCTATTTTGTGGGAATGTGTGTTTATGGTAATTTTGTGGGTGGTGTGGTTGGAAAGGAATAACAGAATTTTGGAAGGAAAAGAAGAAAATGTGGAGTTTATGTGTGCTAGAGCAAAGTTTTTGATTTCCTTTTGGGCTTCGACTACAAAAGAGTTATATGTATGTTTTTATTTTCTTAGTATTGACTGGATAGCTGCATCCTGCATGTAACTATTGAGCTGGTCATGCGTGACAGGGATGTAATGATGTAATATTTTTCTTCTCTTTTTGAATGATCATAGGGTGGATTTCTTGACATTCTTGTTCACCCCTTTTTCAATAAAGGAAGTTTTGTTTCCTATAAAAAAATCTGTCGTATTTTTGTAGCTCTATTTGTGTTCCTAAAGTTAGATTATAAATTGTCCTTTTAGGGTATTTTTGAAAGCTTGAAATATGGAATTCACTTTATCGAGCTCTCAAGTGAGATCGGAAGCAAATCGTTGACCTTCAATGAAGATTTGCAGTTACGACCTTGGTGGGCGCCTACTTATGATAAAAATTATCTATTAGGTCAGTATGATATGCGACTTGTTCCAATTATTATCATGATCTTAGTCATGAAGATTTCTCGAGTTACATTTCTTATGTTAGGCTATGAAGTTTCTTAAAGATGTACTGGAGAAGTGTGTAATGTTGTCTGGTAAAGGTGTTTATTCTAGTATGAAATTACTAAATGCAATAATGACGATCTTATGATCTTTCTATTTTCCAGTAAAAGATTTTTTGGACTAAATTCGCATTTCATCCTTGTTTGCAGGACCATTTGAAGGAGTGTCATATCGTCCTAGAGAAAACTTGGTATGGAAGTTTAGCTAGCTCCTAGCTTTATAGTGAACATTTTATTTCTTGGGAAATGATGTAGTAGAAAAACACTTCTCTATTGATCCCTTGGTAATGATGGTAATTTAGTGATTGTTTGAAGATGTGGGCATCTGGGTTATAAAGACAGGGCTGTAAGCTCATCTCATTTACAATTTGTCCAACCTTGTTTTTACAAAGAAGGGGTTTGCACTCTTTTGGACGACTCTATGGAAATCACTTTATAAATTTTACCTGGGAAAAGTCTTCTTTTTAATGTACTGCAATCAGGCCACTGTGAACTTTCTCTAACATGTTTCTCTGAGCGCTCCAAGGGTCTCTAGCATAATTGACTACACTTATATATGATCATTTTCATACATTTCTGATGGCATGTTTAGTGAAGTGTTTCTACTATTGAAATGCCTGAAGTTATTGATATTGCTTGGGTGTTGTCTACCAAAGTTGTAAAACTAGTTAGAAAATATCTGAATTATTGAAACAAATGGAACTTTCTATATGTTTTTGATTCTTAATCAACTTTGGATAGTTGCTAGTTGCTTTGAAGTTTTTCAACATTACAAAATTCTTTTTTAATGATTGTTTGACCTTGATTCTTTTAACTTCTCCCCATATTCTCCTTTCGAAATGGGTGTCTGTATGACTGATGCATTGTGCAGTCCTTTATTTTTCCATTGCCACCATAAGTTTATTGGAAATTCATCACCCTATTATTGTGTGTTATCTATTATGGCAGCATAACCATATTAAACAAACAGAAGCACGTATACCAAAAACTATTGAGAAGAGGTCTCTTCTTCCACGAATGATCTATTTGTCAGTACAGTGTGCTTTGTCATCGATCAAGGAAAATATTGGTGCAAATGGTTCTGTGTTTGACTCTAAAATCTCCTCAGAGCTGAAGATTTTACTTGAACGATATGCAAACATCTTGGGATTTCCTTTTCTTGATGCAATTGAACTAGTTTTTGGGGTTTCAAGTGGCCAGAAGTCTCCAGAGGTATGATTTCACAATTGATTTGACTCTATACCGACTTTTTTTTTTGTTTTGGTTACATGTGAATTGCTTAACCTTATTATATTGTTCTGCAGTTGAAAAAACAGTAATTTTCAGGAATGGTTTTAAATCTTGTACCTTCCAGGTTGAAGGAATACTAGATATCACCTGAGCTAGATGGTGTTGAACATTAATTACAACCCACTCCCCTTTCACTTCTCACAGTGATTGAAAATATTTAAGGGGGATTGTGGAATGATGGTCTGAAGTGAGGAGCACATGCACAGCATGCCATGTGTCAACTCCTAATCATAAATTGTATAAATATATGATGAGCATGTGCATAACACATGTCCTGTGTTTATTACCTAGATGAAAAGTGATGTGTATGGAATGTTGGTTCTCCTTGAGAACTGACCATTAGGATGACAAATTTGCAATGAGAAGCCTTTTTATTTCTATTTTATGAAAGTGAACTATATGGATATCAGTGTATTATTTATATATATGGAAATGTGTACTACTATACATAAGATTATGATTAGACTTGAGGAAAGGAGCAAATCAGGGCAGGAAAAAAAAAAAAAAAAAAATTGCAAAACAAACGCTACTTAAAAAAAGTACTTGAAAAACAGAAAGTAATAAGTTACTTGAAAAAACGTTGTCAAGCAGTAAAATTGTTTTTCTTCACTAAGTGCTTGCTTTCAGTTATTTTCCTGATTCATGTACATGTAAAGTGGATGCAGTATCCCTGGTGAACATGTCAAATGTACATTAGATAGCTTACTGTCTACTTTGGATGTTGGGTTTTGAAGAACCTGACACCCTGGGATCCTGCCAAATTTGTAATTTGTGCGGGGGATACCTAAATAATGCTTAACTGACGTCGTTGTGTTTGTGTCATGGATGTGCAATATAATGCAGTTGCGTGTAAATGAAGGGAAGTTTGACAGATGCTATCTTCTATGGTTGGTTGGTATATTCCTATATTGGAACCAACCAATCTTTGTGTGTGAACTGTAGTATTTTTGGAAATTAGCTTCGTGCTAAATGATGTTTTTTACTTTGAGCAGGTTTTGAGTTCAGATCTGATTGACTGGATGAATTTTGTTGTACTTTTGAATGCATGGAACTTGAATTCCCATGAGCTTGGCTTCTCAGGTAGAGATGCAGCTAAACCTGGTACTTGGCACCTTGTGAATTCTTTGCTAGAGAAGTATATCCTGGAGAAGATCAGATCAATGCAACCCCTAGTTTCTTCTCCCGGAAGTGATCTTCCTGTTTTGGTGCAATTAGTTACAGAACCCTTGGCTTGGCATGGTCTTGTAATCCAATCGTGTGTCCGGTCAACTGTACCTTCTGGGAAAAAGAAGAAGAAAGGTGGATCTGCAGACTGTCAACCGTCTAATGAAATTCAAGACTCAATCCGGTCTCTATGCGGTATACTAGAGGATGTTACAAAATGGCTAAGTGAGCAAATCAATAAGCCAGTTGAGGAGAATTTGGAAATCATACTTTCCTCACTCCAAGGTGAAAAACAGGGTGAAGGGCCCGGGAAGGTCTTCCAAGTTCTGGAAACTAAAATCTCATCGATGAATGGTTTAGACGTGGGTGATCGGATTGCCCAAGCATTACAATGTTGGAATTCTGCTGATGTTGCTAGGAAAGTCATAACTGGGCAAGGTATGGTACTGACTGAGTTTCTCAGAATTTGCAAATCAAAAATAAAATTGATGCAGGCACTGAAACCACATGTATAGGACAAGTTTGAAAGGCTGCTAGTTGGAAAACAGTTTTGTATCTGTGATTTGATACGAGGATGCCTCAAATGTGATGATCTTTAGCTGAGAGTGAAACTTTTGTACCACTTTTAGCTACCTTGTCTGCTAAGGGAGTTGAAAAAGACCGCTCACGCTGGAATCCTAAGCTACGCGTGTTTGGTTTTTGAAGTTCTTTAGCAGAAGTTCAGGGTCAGATAGGTACAGGCGCCTTTGTAATTTGTGTGCTGCGATTTTGTGATTTTTAATTTTTTTTTCCCCTTAGAATTAGCCTGTTCGACAGTGTACAATAAATAAACACAAAATTCTTCATGGAGTATGACTATAGGCTTGTAACATTGATTTTTGTATACATAAATTTTGGCAATGTATGATCAATTTCATCATTTTGAGGTTGGTGCTGCTGTTTCTGGCTCCTGAAAGGCCTCATAGTAATCAGTTGTTGTGCATGTGTGTATTTCTGCCTTGGTCATCATCAGCATTCTTGCACATGAAGCTTCTTCATTTCTAGTGAGTCGGCTTGTGAGAAAATCGTTGTGCATTTGTGTGTTTAATGAATGATTTTTAACCCAGGAAGCTATTCACCTATCTACTTTACTCGAAATTTTGGGCATACTTGAGTCTTGAACCCCTGAAATTTAATTAGAAATAATTTTTTAGAATGATACTTTTGTTCAGTAGTCTGAAGAAAGAATTCCCGGTAAAAATTGGGAATATCGGACCAATATTGTATAGTCGGGTAAATTACGAGATTAAATTGAAGAAGATTGTAACCCAGCCCAATTCCACATTTCACAAGACATAACTAAAAGCCGAATAACAATTATTCAAACCTTATTCTATATTTGGTTAGTTTTTTATTTTGATACTTAAAAAAGGGGCTGGGACAAGAAAGAGTGTCCAGCGACCACTCTCACCAGTGGGATCATAAGGCTCCTGACTGCGCTTGGAACACCCTCTCAGGACCAGATCTAGCTAATCTAGTATAACGGTCAACCACCAAACCCCAATGAAAATTCCAAGACTCGAACTCTCAACTTTAAAGTGAGGAGTAAAACCGGTACCCTACTAGACTACCATACTTTGTGATTATATTTGGTTAGTTTATGATGAAGGAGAAAGATAAAAAAATTTTGATACCCCGTCGATGGATGGAGGTTATTCCTATTGAAAAAGTATATTGGAAACATTGAGTGGCTAGAAGGATTAAATTCATTTGGTTAGTTTATGATGAAGGAGAAAGATATAAAATTTTTGATCCTCCGTCGATGGATGGAGGTTATTCCTATGGAAAAAGTATATTGGAGATATTGAGTGGCTAGAAGGCTTGAATTCAAGTCGTCTTTGCCTCCTCAAATGTCTCCTACAAAACTTGAACCTTCTATCTCTTTGTGGAGAGGTGAGAGACTTACCACTTGAACTAAACGCAAGCCCAAGGTCATTGTGTATCTATAATCTATCATATAAAATGTGATAAATTTTAATAAATACACCATTCAACGGTCTTAAATAAACTTATCCAACAACCACCAACATCTCTTTTAAAATCATTCAAATTGAATTTTCTCCTCTCCCAAATTTATTACTTCTTACTTACGTTACACTATCATTCGGGTACAAGTTACTCCTAATAATTTATAAAGTAAAGAATTTTTCGCATTTTAAATCTTGAAAGATTTAAATTTTTTATTTTGCACTTTTAAAAATTAATTTTTTATATTGCAACCTCAATGTATTAAAAATGTTGCAATGTGATATTTTTGTTAGTTTTCGTTATTTTTTTCATCAAAAGTCAACTTATTAACAATGATAGAAAAAATAATGAAAGGTTAATAGAAGGGTCAAATTGTAACACTTTTGATACATTGAAAGTGTAATGTGAAAAATTTAATCTTTGAGGGTACAAAATAAAAAAGTTAATTTACTCTAAAGTAAATTTGAGACACAAATTGACAAATTCAGATATGCATCATTACATTTTTCATCAATTTTTTTCAATAGTAAATCAACTACTATGAATTTTAGGTCTCTTAGTAATACAGGAAAATTAAAAAAAAGTAATAGTGGGGGATTTTCACTATAAAATAGTCTTCATTTTAGTATTAATTCCATACTAATCAGTGCCTTGATTGAAGCTAATCCCTTGGCATGGCATGACAACCAACCAATTATTAAAGCTTAAAGTTGTTTGAGTAGAAGTTTTATGCTTTCAACTTTATCTGACTTAATATTCTTTTCAATCATTCACCCTGCTTGAAGGAGGGCATTAGTTACTAACAATGATATGTGTATCAAAATTTTTTATTAATTTTTTTATCTTAAGTGATGTGATATAATTTTTATTATTAAATAAATAAGTTTTATTAATATTTAATGATATAAATTGTGCCACGTTACTCGGTAGTAATGGAGGGAGGGAGGGCAGGAGAGGTTTGGGCCCACCTTGAATTTTTTTTTTCTTATATATGTTTTATTTATTTTTTTGGATATATTTAATTGTGTTCACTCTAATAATTTAGGAAAAAAAAAATATTAGTGGGACTTAATTTTTTGACTTAATAATTAAATAATATTAAAAAAATATAATAAATTAGATTTCATTAACAATATGTGTGTGTGTGTGTAATTATAACTATGTATGTATATTTTTGTTATAGAAGACAAGGGAAAGAAAAAAAAACGAGATCGACAAGGAGAATATATACGTTAGGGGTTTTGAAGAGAAGACTAATTAGAGCTCTAATAAGATTGTAAAATATTTCGGGGTATAATTATCATATTATAAATATTATTAAAGATGATTTTGTTGAGCGCTTTCAATTTTTAGAATTAAGTAGAAGATCTCCTACTTAATATTGTAGTATATTTTTAAAGAGCACTTAACATATTAAGAGAGTTTAAATTTTGATTATCAAACGGACTTAATTAATAAGTGTTGAATATATTTATTTTAAGTGCTAAATTTAAGTTAACAAACACACACTAAGAGGGATACCCGTTAAAATATATTAAAATATTTTAACAGTAATAAAAAATATTAAAATAACATCCCATTTTACCATCTATCATTTAAATAGATTTATAATTCAAAGATACTAAATTCCTGTTTAAAATTACAAATNATTTTGATACTTAAAAAAGGGGCTGGGGCAAGAAAGAGTGTCCAGCGACCACCCCGATAGGCTCTCACCAGTGGGATCATAAGGCTCCTGACCGCGCTTGGAACACCCTCTCAGGACCAGATCTAGCTAATCTAGTATAACGGTCAACCACCAAACCCCAATGAAAACTCTAAGACTCGAACTCTCAACTTTAAAGTGATGAGTAAAACCGGTACCCTACTAGACTACCATACTTTGTGATTATATTTGGTTAGTTTATGATGAAGGAGAAAGATAAAAAAATTTTGATACCCCGTCGATGGATGGAGGTTATTCCTATTGAAAAAGTATATTGGAAACAGTGAGTGGCTAGAAGGATTAAATTCATTTGGTTAGTTTATGATNATTTTCCTGATTCATGTACATGTAAAGTGGATGCAGTATCCCTGGTGAACATGTCAAATGTACATTAGATAGCTTACTGTCTACTTTGGATGTTGGGTTTTGAAGAACCTGACACCCTGGGATCCTGCCAAATTTGTAATTTGTGCGGGGGATACCTAAATAATGCTTAACTGACGTCGTTGTGTTTGTGTCATGGATGTGCAATATAATGCAGTTGCGTGTAAATGAAGGGAAGTTTGACAGATGCTATCTTCTATGGTTGGTTGGTATATTCCTATATTGGAACCAACCAATCTTTGTGTGTGAACTGTAGTATTTTTGGAAATTAGCTTCGTGCTAAATGATGTTTTTTACTTTGAGCAGGTTTTGAGTTCAGATCTGATTGACTGGATGAATTTTGTTGTACTTTTGAATGCATGGAACTTGAATTCCCATGAGCTTGGCTTCTCAGGTAGAGATGCAGCTAAACCTGGTACTTGGCACCTTGTGAATTCTTTGCTAGAGAAGTATATCCTGGAGAAGATCAGATCAATGCAACCCCTAGTTTCTTCTCCCGGAAGTGATCTTCCTGTTTTGGTGCAATTAGTTACAGAACCCTTGGCTTGGCATGGTCTTGTAATCCAATCGTGTGTCCGGTCAACTGTACCTTCTGGGAAAAAGAAGAAGAAAGGTGGATCTGCAGACTGTCAACCGTCTAATGAAATTCAAGACTCAATCCGGTCTCTATGCGGTATACTAGAGGATGTTACAAAATGGCTAAGTGAGCAAATCAATAAGCCAGTTGAGGAGAATTTGGAAATCATACTTTCCTCACTCCAAGGTGAAAAACAGGGTGAAGGGCCCGGGAAGGTCTTCCAAGTTCTGGAAACTAAAATCTCATCGATGAATGGTTTAGACGTGGGTGATCGGATTGCCCAAGCATTACAATGTTGGAATTCTGCTGATGTTGCTAGGAAAGTCATAACTGGGCAAGGTATGGTACTGACTGAGTTTCTCAGAATTTGCAAATCAAAAATAAAATTGATGCAGGCACTGAAACCACATGTATAGGACAAGTTTGAAAGGCTGCTAGTTGGAAAACAGTTTTGTATCTGTGATTTGATACGAGGATGCCTCAAATGTGATGATCTTTAGCTGAGAGTGAAACTTTTGTACCACTTTTAGCTACCTTGTCTGCTAAGGGAGTTGAAAAAGACCGCTCACGCTGGAATCCTAAGCTACGCGTGTTTGGTTTTTGAAGTTCTTTAGCAGAAGTTCAGGGTCAGATAGGTACAGGCGCCTTTGTAATTTGTGTGCTGCGATTTTGTGATTTTTAATTTTTTTTTCCCCTTAGAATTAGCCTGTTCGACAGTGTACAATAAATAAACACAAAATTCTTCATGGAGTATGACTATAGGCTTGTAACATTGATTTTTGTATACATAAATTTTGGCAATGTATGATCAATTTCATCATTTTGAGGTTGGTGCTGCTGTTTCTGGCTCCTGAAAGGCCTCATAGTAATCAGTTGTTGTGCATGTGTGTATTTCTGCCTTGGTCATCATCAGCATTCTTGCACATGAAGCTTCTTCATTTCTAGTGAGTCGGCTTGTGAGAAAATCGTTGTGCATTTGTGTGTTTAATGAATGATTTTTAACCCAGGAAGCTATTCACCTATCTACTTTACTCGAAATTTTGGGCATACTTGAGTCTTGAACCCCTGAAATTTAATTAGAAATAATTTTTTAGAATGATACTTTTGTTCAGTAGTCTGAAGAAAGAATTCCCGGTAAAAATTGGGAATATCGGACCAATATTGTATAGTCGGGTAAATTACGAGATTAAATTGAAGAAGATTGTAACCCAGCCCAATTCCACATTTCACAAGACATAACTAAAAGCCGAATAACAATTATTCAAACCTTATTCTATATTTGGTTAGTTTTTTATTTTGATACTTAAAAAAGGGGCTGGGGCAAGAAAGAGTGTCCAGCGACCACCCCGATAGGCTCTCACCAGTGGGATCATAAGGCTCCTGACCGCGCTTGGAACACCCTCTCAGGACCAGATCTAGCTAATCTAGTATAACGGTCAACCACCAAACCCCAATGAAAACTCTAAGACTCGAACTCTCAACTTTAAAGTGATGAGTAAAACCGGTACCCTACTAGACTACCATACTTTGTGATTATATTTGGTTAGTTTATGATGAAGGAGAAAGATAAAAAAATTTTGATACCCCGTCGATGGATGGAGGTTATTCCTATTGAAAAAGTATATTGGAAACAGTGAGTGGCTAGAAGGATTAAATTCATTTGGTTAGTTTATGATGAAGGAGAAAGATATAAAATTTTTGATCCTCCGTCGATGGATGGAGGTTATTCCTATGGAAAAAGTATATTGGAGATATTGAGTGGCTAGAAGGCTTGAATTCAAGTCGTCTTTGCCTCCTCAAATGTCTCCTACAAAACTTGAACCTTCTATCTCTTTGTGGAGAGGTGAGAGACTTACCACTTGAACTAAACGCAAGCCCAAGGTCATTGTGTATCTATAATCTATCATATAAAATATGATAAATTTTAACACCCCATCCAACGGTCTTAAATAAACTTATCCACCAGCCACCAACATCTCTTTTAAAATCATTCAAATTGAATTTTCTCCTCTCCCAAATTTATNATAGTAAACAATAAATATATTTGTATTCATATTTAAAATTAAATTATAAACATAGAGAAGAGATAAATAAATTTAAGCATTGATTTGTAGTAGGGGTGAGAGGTGATGGGCGACAGTGGTGGTGATAGGAGACGGTGATAGTTATAGNTAATATTATTGAGACTTAATTTTTTGACTTAATAATTAAATAATATTGAAAAAATATAATAAATTAGATTTCATTAACAATATGTGTGTGTGTGTGTGTAATTATAACTATGTATGTATATTTTTGTTATAGAAGACAAGGGAAAGAAAAAAAAACGAGATCGACAAGGAGAATATATACGTTAGGGATTTTGAAGAGAAGACTAATTAGAGCTCTAATAAGATTGTAAAATATTTCGGGGTATAATTATCATATTATAAATATTATTAAAGATGATTTTGTTGAGCGCTTTCAATTTTTAGAATTAAGTAGAAGATCTCCTACTTAATATTGTAGTATATTTTTAAAGAGCACTTAACATATTAAGAGAGTTTAAATTTTGATTATCAAACGGACTTAATTAATAAGTGTTGAATATATTTATTTTAAGTGCTAAATTTAAGTTAACAAACACACACTAAGAGGGATACCCGTTAAAATATATTAAAATATTTTAACAGTAATAAAAAATATTAAAATAACATCCCATTTTAACATCTATCATTTAAACAGATTTATAATTCAAAGATACTAAATTCCTGTTTAAAATTACAAATAAATCATTTAGCACCCAAAATAGCAAGTCAAAGTTGCTCTTATTAGTTATTGCTCGATCCAGTACTACTAGTTTACCATAGTGCACCTGTACTTTGATAAAGTCAACAATGAAGGCTGCTTCTTTTTAGTAGTGTTGCTCTGTGAACAAGCTTTTGAACACTTCAAGGGATAAGGGTTTGGTTGAGGGGTTTTTTGTTTTTTTGGTGGGCGTGGGAATTTGGAGATTGGTCAGAAGCCATCTCGAGAATGACATTTAAGTTTTAAAATTGATTAAGCAAAATTACACTAATGCCCCATAAACTATGCTCTTCATTTCACATTGTTCCTAAACTATATATTTTTTTTAAAATTATTGGTTTGAGTTTCACGTTCATCCCTGTTTAAAAAAAAGAGAAAAGAGTTTCATGTTAATCTAACTTTTGACTTTTGTCAAGTTTTCACAGTCATGATTTACCGTAAAAAAGTTTGGACAAAAGTCAAAGAATAGGGGTAATGTAAATTTCAAATCAATAATTTAAGGTGCAATGTGAGAAGAAGAACAAGAATAGATTAGGGGGGCAGTATGAAACGAGAGTATAATTCAGGGTTCTTAGTGTAATTTGCTCCATCGATTATATGAAAGATTTAATCAAACCTGACTTTCTCAGAAAGAGTCTCAATAGCTAACCCATCCAAATCAAATCATTATCAAGATTTTAAATTGAAATCAGGTCCTAAAATTAAATAAAAATATCAGTTTTTTTATGTAAATTTTATTCATACCCCTCGTAAAAAGACCTAACTTCAACGACACCCTTTCTGACTCAAAAATATTATTACATTCCATTCTGATTCATATGTTCACTTTAATCACACTCTTTTTACCTTGAATCTCTTTTATAATATATATATATATATATTAAGATACTTAGTATATAAAACAATTAGTTATTGCATGTGTCTGAAGATATATAGTAATAAAAAATAGTAAACAATAAATATATTTGTATTCATATCTAAAATTAAATTATAAACATAGAGAAAAGATAAATAAATTTAAGCATTGATTTGTAGTAGGGGTGAGAGGTGATGAGCGACAGTGGTGGTGATAGGAGACGGTGATAGTTATAGTGGGTAACAATGACCGTGGTGGCGGCAATGGTAGTGACGACGACGACGATGATGATGGCGGTGGCAGCAACGGCGATGATGGTGGCAGTGGTGGGGGTGGAGGTGGCAGTGGAGGGGTGGCGANCATTTTTGTTAGTTTCCGTTATTTTTTTCATCAAAAGTCAACTTATGAACAATGATAGAAAAAATAATGAAAAGTTAATAGAAGAGCCACATTGTAACACTTTTGATACATTGAAAGTGTAATGTAAAAAATTTAATCTTTGACGGTACAAAATAAAAAGTTAATTTACTCCAAAGTAAATTTGAGACACAAATTGACAAATTCAAATATGCATCATTACATTTTTCATCAATTTTTTTCAATAGTAAATCAACTACTATGAATTTTAGGTCTCTTAGTAATACAGGAAAATTAAAGAAAAGTAATAGTGGGGGATTTTCACTATAAAATAGTCTTCATTTTAGTATTAATTCCATACTAATCAGTGCCTTGATTGAAGCTAATCCCTTGGCATGGCATGACAACCAACCAATTATTAAAGCTTAAAGTTGTTTGAGTAGAAGTTTTATGCTTTCAACTTTATCTGACTTAATATTCTTTTCAATCATTCACCCTGCTTGAAGGAGGGCATTAGTTACTAACAATGATATGTGTATCACAAATTTTTATTAATTTTTTTATCTTAAGTGATGTGATATAATTTTTACTATTAAATAAATAAGTCTTATTAATATTTAATGATATAAATTGTGCCACGTTACTCAGTAGTAATGGAGGGAGGGAGGGCAGGAGAGGTTTGGGCCCACCTTGAATTTTTTTTTTCTTATATATGTTTTATTTATTTTTTTGGATATATTTAATTGTGTTCACTCTAATAATTTAGGAAAAAAAAAATATTAGTGGGACTTAATTTTTTGACTTAATAATTAAATAATATTAAAAAAATATAATAAATTAGATTTCATTAACAATATGTGTGTGTGTGTGTAATTATAACTATGTATGTATATTTTTGTTATAGAAGACAAGGGAAAGAAAAAAAAACGAGATCGACAAGGAGAATATATACGTTAGGGGTTTTGAAGAGAAGACTAATTAGAGCTCTAATAAGATTGTAAAATATTTCGGGGTATAATTATCATATTATAAATATTATTAAAGATGATTTTGTTGAGCGCTTTCAATTTTTAGAATTAAGTAGAAGATCTCCTACTTAATATTATAACATATTTTTAAAGAGCACTTAACATATTAACAGAGTTTAAATTTTGATTATCAAACGGACTTAATTAATAAGTGTTGAATATATTTATTTTAAGTGCTAAATTTAAGTTAACAAACACACACTAAGAGGGATACCCGTTAAAATATATTAAAATATTTTAACAGTAATAAAAAATATTAAAATAACATCCCATTTTAACATCTATCATTTAAATAGATTTATAATTCAAAGATACTAAATTCCTGTTTAAAATTACAAATAAATCATTTAGCACCCAAAATAGCAAGTCAAAGTTGCTCTTATTAGTTATTGCTCGATCCAGTACTACTAGTTTACCATAGTGCACCTGTACTTTGATAAAGTCAACAATGAAGGCTGCTTCTTTTTAGTAGTGTTGCTCTGTGAACAAGCTTTTGAACACTTCAAGGGATAAGGGTTTGGTTGAGGGGTTTTTTGTTTTTTTGGTGGGCGTGGGAATTTGGAGATTGGTCAGAAGCCATCTCGAGAATGACATTTAAGTTTTAAAATTGATTAAGCAAAATTACACTAATGCCCCATAAACTATGCTCTTCATTTCACATTGTTCCTAAACTATATATTTTTTTTAAAATTATTGGTTTGAGTTTCACGTTCATCCCTGTTTAAAAAAAAGAGAAAAGAGTTTCATGTTAATCTAACTTTTGACTTTTGTCAAGTTTTCACAGTCATGATTTACCGTAAAAAAGTTTGGACAAAAGTCAAAGAATAGGGGTAATGTAAATTTCAAATCAATAATTTAAGGTGCAATGTGAGAAGAAGAACAAGAATAGATTAGGGGGGCAGTATGAAACGAGAGTATAATTCAGGGTTCTTAGTGTAATTTGCTCATCGATTATATGAAAGATTTGATCAAACCTGACTTTCTCAGAAAGAGTCTCAAAAGCTAACCCATCCAAATCAAATCATTATCAAGATTTTAAATTGAAATCAGGTCCTAAAATTAAATAAAAATATCAGTTTTTTTGNTAGAGACATTGTATTAAATTATAGAGGTATTATCTTTGGTCAATATATAATGGCTAAGATATTTCACAGTTATTTTACTCGATTTAAAAATAAAACATATGTTTTAATAAGTGACTAAAAAAAATTAAATTTAACTAGGACTATTGAATAAATTAGCAAATTTAAAGGGGCAATATAATAAATTAAGATATTTACATTTTCATAACGCTACAAATGAAAGGGTACATGGAGAATTTCTTAAATCACTATTTTTCTCTTCGACGATCAGGGTGTTTGGCCTAATTTACAGGTATCTCAATTAGTTTCCTCTTCGATCTAGTCAAAAACAAATCATTCGCGATAAAACAAAGGTATTTTTCTTGTAGCCTGATATCAAGAAATTCTCAAATATTGAATTAAGGATATTTAAATTTTTAATAATTTTTATTTTCTATTACTAATTCATCGAAATAAAAAATGAAACGAAAATTTTAATGATTGATTGTAGCCGCGGACGGTAATCTAGGATTGGCGCACGTATTGATTGTTTGGCTAACAAAATGCCATATGGTTAACTAGTAGTAAGTAAGGTTTGTTATTTCTCCATACTCCATGTTTATATTAACTAACATCGTCGTACTGAAAAACTGACAAAGAAATAGGGAAGAATCTTCCATACCTAACGTTGATGACTTTCATCTTTTTTAATATTATTTATTATTTTATTACATTTCTCTGTCAGATTGACTTGGTTGCCTAAAAGGTTACACTTTTGTGAATCCTCTCGAAAGTACAGTTGTAATCAACTTTAGTTAGTTTATCTTTGTTGTAAAAAACAATACATCGTTTGTAAAGTCTTTCAGTACTTTCTTTTCTTTCTTTTTCATTTTAATATGTACTCATCTTTCAAGAACCAAGTGTGTTTACAAGTAAGATGGTATTTATCGTGTCAATCAAANTTTTTTAGTAAAAAACAATACATCGTTTGTAAAGTCTTTCAGTACTTTCTTTTCTTTCTTTTTCATTTTAATATGTACTGATCTTTCAAGAACCAAGTGTGTTTACAAGTAAGATGGTATTTATCGTGTCAATCAAATCATTTATTGTGAGTCTCAAACTTAGTAATTCGAGATATTAACCATTAAAATATTATTAAATATCTGAACTATTTGATGGATTGTAACGTGTTTTTTCGATAATCATTTGTAACCATTTATAATCAAAGTTTTGAGGTTAGAACCAATGGAACAATTAGGAAGAACACAAGGTATAGAGGAATGCATGAAAATCAACATAACCCAAAAAACTTTTGAGCCATTAACCTCCTTAACTACACGGTCTCNTTATTAAATATCTGAACTATTTGATGGATTGTAACTTGTTTTTTCGATAATCATTCAATTTGTAACCCTTTATAATCAAAGTTTTGAGGTTAGAACCAATGGAACAATTAGGAAGAACACAAGGTATAGAGGAATGCATGAAAATCAACATAACCCAAAAAACTTTTGAGCCATTAACCTCCTTAACTACACGGTCTCAGTATAGAGTTTTTTTTTTTTTTTCAATGGTCAGGATATTCAGATTAACTTACGCATATTTCGACTAATTCTCTCTTCGATCCGGTCAAAGACATCCCATCTATACAAAAAGTAAGGTATTCATGAGAGATAATCCTTCATAACTTTGGCTCCAAGAAGATGCTAAAATTCAAATATATGATTTTTGAATTTATCCCTGTTACTACTTAATCTATTATTGGAGTTAATTTCGAGAGAGAGAGAGTGACTGTATTTCATTAACTGAATTTGTTTGCATAATACGGGGACAGAAAGGTTATCTGCACCTAATCTCTTAACCATTTCACATGTNATATGATTTTTGAATTTATCCCTGTGACTACTTAATCTATTATTGGAGTTAATTTCGAGAGAGAGAGTGACTATATTTCATTAACTGAATTTGTTTGCATAATACGGGGACAGAAAGGTTATCTGCACCTAATCTCTTAACCATTTCACATGTACAAATCTCCATTTGGTTAGCAAATGATAGAGCCAGTGGGTGCACCAAATCCTCCTTATAGTTGGACTAAAGTTGCCTAAGATTTTCATGTCGTTGTTGACTCCTGACCTAATCTCTCTCTCTCTCTCTCTCTGTGGTTTATTATTCTAAATTGTAGCTAAGTTTTTCAGTGTACTATAAATAACGACCTCGACATGTAGTGTACACACGCACCAAACTTTGAATATCATTCAGCAAAGTTTGAAAGAAAGAGAGATGGAGGCTTACAACAGTGGTGCTATTAGTACTAAGCCATGGCTCAATGGCCTCTTCCTCAGCTTTCTAGCTATACTATCATTTGTAGCTTCTTTTGCTAATGCGGAAACTCACTACCACGAGTTTGTTGTATGTCCTCGACTCTTCTTCTTCTTGTACCTTTTCATATTCACTGTAACTTCTTGTAATGACACTCCATTGAAACAGGTTCAAGCAAAACCAGTGACGAGGCTGTGCAAAACCCATAGCATAATTACTGTCAATGGACAATTTCCAGGTCCAACTCTGCAAGTACAAAATGGAGACACTCTTGTTATTAAAGTCCTTAACAGGGCTCGTTACAATGTCACCCTCCATTGGTAAGTCACCGAAAGCCACCTCTCCGAATGTGTGGGTCAAGGAAGCGTGCCTCCGATCCTCTCAGACCCTGCAATAACAGGACTTTCATGCACTGAAATATTATGTGAACGTAACAATAAATATTGAACAACATGAACTCAACTCAACATTGACACGTAATTATATCCTGCTGACACCTTCACCNCGATCCTCTCAGACCCTGCAATAACAGGACTTTCATGCACTGAAATATTATGTGAACGTAACAATAAATATTGGACAACATGAACTCAACTCAACATTGACACGTAATTATATCCTGCTGACACCTTCACCATGTAGGAATTTCAATAAACATTAATTTTTACTATTGCTATACAACACAGGCATGGAGTTCGTCAGATGCGAACGCCATGGGCAGATGGCCCGGAATATGTAACCCAGTGTCCGATCCAACCCGGAGCAGCTTACACGTACCGGTTCACAATCGAAAATCAGGAGGGGACATTGTGGTGGCACGCTCATAGCAAATGGCTCAGAGCCACCGTCTATGGAGCACTTGTCATCTATCCGAAATCTGGTTTTTCATTCCCCTTCTCCAAGCCCAAGCTAGACATTCCTATTCTTCTTGGTAACCACTAATTACCCTTCTAACTTTCAGTATCCCATATTATCTGGTTTGAATATGTAACGCCCCGGACCCAAGTTGTACAATATTGTCAAACAACGCCCAAAAACCATGCAGGCCTAGTTCAAAGCTAGCAAATATTGTATCGTCTGGGTTTGGGGCGTTACAGAGGGCAGGCTGATCTTACTAGTTTTTGAGTAACAAATGTGACCATGATGATGTGCTGCAGGAGAATGGTGGAACAGAAACATTATTGATGTACTAAGACAGACAACTTTCACCGGAGCAGCTCCAAATATTTCAGATGCATACACCATCAATGGTCAACCTGGTGATCTATACAGATGCTCCAGCAAAGGTTTAGTGCGGCTCTAGACTAATTAAACTGTTTTAGCTTTGAATAAGATTGTAGTAAAGTGAAAGCTATGGTGCAAATAAACCAAACCGAGACAAGTTCAGACTACTTGGGTTCAACTCTTTGGTTCACTCACCACCCTAACTAACCAAACAAGCCATTATTCGAGTTCGATTTGGTTGATAAATGAAAGAGCTTTTACCCGAGTTCATAAATAACTCGATTCATTTGCAGTCCTTGTAGCAGCTAACGTTGAACTTTTTTATCTAACTCCAAATTCCTATGCAGATACTTTGAAAATCTCTGTGAAGTCTGGTGACACGGTTCTCCTCAGACTCATCAACGCTGCACTCAATCAAGAACTCTTCTTTTCTGTTGCCAACCACAAACTAACTGTTGTTGGTGCCGATGCTGCCTATACCAAGCCTTTCACAACCAATGTCCTCATGATTGGTCCTGGACAGACCACCAATGTCCTCCTCACGGCGGATCAAACCCCAGGACGCTACTACATGGCAGCGCGAGCCTATGCTACTGCCCAGAATGCCCCATTCGACAACACCACCACCACTGCCATCATCAAATACAAAAATACCCAAAAGGGTGGTTCCTCACCACCACAGTTACCGCAACTACCAGCCTTCAATGACACTGCCACTGTGACTGCATTCACTAGCCAAATGAGGAGTCCTTCCAACGTTAAAGTCCCTACTCAGATTGATGAGAACCTCTTCTTCACAGTAGGATTGGGGGTCGTCAACTGCAATCCAGGGCCTAGATGCCAAGGGCCAAACAATACCCGATTCGCTGCCAGCATGAACAACGTGTCTTTTGTACTCCCCAGAAGGACCTCCTTACTTCAAGCCTATTACCAGAACATACCTGGCGTCTTCACCACTGACTTCCCCACAGTTCCACCACGAAAATTTGATTATACAGGCAATGTCAGCCGGGCACTTTGGCAACCTCTATTTAAGACTAAATTGCACAAAATGAAATTTGGTTCCAATGTACAAATTGTGCTACAAGACACTGCCATCATCACCACAGAGGACCATCCTATGCATCTTCATGGCTACCATTTCTTTGTTGTCGGACAGGGTTTTGGAAACTTTGATCCAAAAAGAGACACTGCAAAATTTAACCTCGTTGATCCACCCCTCAGGAATACAATCAACGTTCCAGTTGGTGGATGGTCTGTGATCCGATTCGTGGCTGATAATCCAGGTAAGATGTTGATAAAAATGGTCATAAATTATGCAAATTACAATATGTTTTAGTGAAGAAAACTTACTAAACTGATAAAGTGGTGCATAAACAGGAGTTTGGCTGATGCACTGTCACATAGATTCCCATCTCAATTGGGGCTTGGCCATGTCTTTCATAGTTGAGAATGGAGTTGGAGAATTACAGTCCATAGAGCCTCCTCCAGTTGATCTGCCTCGTTGTTAAGCTTTCCGATGAAAGTCATCAGTGATAAAGACTGTCTTCTTGGTTGAAAGAAGATGATAGAACTTTCTTCAGTTNTGTGTCTTTTGTACTCCCCAGAAGGACCTCCTTACTTCAAGCCTATTACCAGAACATACCTGGCGTCTTCACCACCGACTTCCCCCCAGTTCCACCACGAAAATTTGATTATACAGGCAATGTCAGCCGGGCACTTTGGCAACCTCTATTTAAGACTAAATTGCACAAGATGAAATTTGGTTCCAATGTACAAATTGTGCTACAAGACACTGCCATCATCACCACAGAGGACCATCCTATGCATCTTCATGGCTACCATTTCTTTGTTGTCGGACAGGGTTTTGGAAACTTTGATCCAAAAAGAGACACTGCAAAATTTAACCTCGTTGATCCACCCCTCAGGAATACAATCAACGTTCCAGTTGGTGGATGGTCTGTGATCCGATTCGTGGCTGATAATCCAGGTAAGATGTTGATAAAAATGGTCATAAATTATGCAAATTACAATATGTTTTAGTGAAGAAAACTTACTAAACTGATAAAGTGGTGCATAAACAGGAGTTTGGCTGATGCACTGTCACATAGATTCCCATCTCAATTGGGGCTTGGCCATGTCTTTCATAGTTGAGAATGGAGTTGGAGAATTACAGTCCATAGAGCCTCCTCCAGTTGATCTGCCTCGTTGTTAAGCTTTCCGATGAAAGTCATCAGTGATAAAGACTGTCTTCTTGGTTGAAAGAAGATGATAGAACTTTCTTCAGTTCTCTGTTTTATAGGTCATCGTTTGCCTGAATTTGGTGTCCTGTTTTTCTTTGTTTTGCTTATCTTTGTCCTAATTTTTGCTTTGATTAATTAAGCAAAGAATCGGACATTCTTGATTTGGTTGCTTACTTTTACAATCCAAGAGGGATACATGTACCCAGGTTTATAATTATTTGTATCAATTGCATTACAGCATTGTGTCAGTCAATTTATGAGGAATAAGAAAAGTGCCCCGATGCATTTCTTCTTTTTCTTTTGTGTTTTCCCTTGTGATTAAAGAGCAAAACCCAGGACATAAATTGTACCTCCACTCAAGGATGACCTCAAAAGCAAAACGATATCTAGGAAGAACATACTAAATTCACAAATAATTGAACGGCAGTGAGCTCATCTAAATATGCCATTATAATCAATTCAAGCACGCCAAGCCTAAGCCAAAAAGAGTTGTTGACTTTTTTTTGGTGATGGGAAATCCTCCCAACCACATGCTAGCGTTCAACATTCCCCATTGGCTAGAGTTTTATGTGGAAGNGGCTGCACTGGGTGGGGGGGGGGGGGTGGGGGGGGGGGGGGGGGCAATATATAAGGCACATTGGCAATGATGATTCATACGGAATACAAAGAGAAAGTTAATGGAGGATCTCATGAATTTCCTGCCAGTTCAGCGTATTAATAAGATTTTCAGTGAAAAGGTGAAGAAAATGGGGAAAACACCCCCAGCAAGTTTACGCAGAGATTTGCTTATTGACTGAACTCGTATATCTAACCAGGAAAGGAAGGTTATCTGCCCCAGTTTTAATTTTGACGGGGAATATAATTTTCATATGTTCAGAAGTGATAAAAGCTAGTGGGTGCACCAAATCCTTATTCTGGTTGGACTATGCTACCTATAATCTTGATGACCCAGTTGACTCAACTAACAAAGACCCCAAAAGAAATGTTCTCTTTCTACATTATCAAACCTAAATAACTACCACTATAAATTACTCAGACTCATGCACTATGTTTTCAAACAATAACAAAGGGTGCAAAGAAGAGTGATGGAGGTCTATGACATTTGTGACAAGCTATGGAGCAAATGCTTCTTCCTAAGCTTTCTCATTCTACTTACTCGTGTACCGTCATCAGGAAATGCAGAAACTCATTACCATGAGTTTGTTGTGAGTCTACTTCATCATCTTCTGGTTTTTTTAGCATCAGTAAATAATCATCTATTGAAACAGGTTCAAGCAACTCCGGTGAAGAGGCTGTGCAGAACCCAAAACATAATCACAGTCAATGGGCAATTCCCAGGGCCAACTTTAGAAGTCAGAAATGGAGACAATCTTGTTATCAAAGTCCAGAACCACGCTGTTTACAATGTCACAATCCATTGGTAATTACAAATTTATCATTGCTCCCAAATGGTTGCCCGCATATATCGTCAGTACACCAAACCTTGCATGCTTTGCATAAACTGATCACACACCCAAATACAAACTAAATACACTGATCATTTGCGGGAAATTAGGTTAGTGCACTTAATTCAGATATATAAGGTAATATGTTTCATATCCTAAGCATAAAGCTATATCCAATCAATTAACACCTTCATTATGAAGTAGACCAGTTGATAATTGATATCGTTAACAACCCAACAGGCATGGAATTCGTCAGATTGGAACGCAATGGGCAGATGGGCCTGAATATGTGACCCAGTGTCCAATCCAACCAGGAGGGACCTATACATACCGTTTCACAATCAAAAACCAGGAGGGAACACTGTGGTGGCACGCTCATAGCAAGTGGCTTAGAGCTACTGTCTATGGAGCACTCATTATCTATCCAAAGCTGGGGTCTCCATATCCCTTCCAAGAGCCCAAGTTTGAAATACCTATTCTTCTTGGTAATGATCATCAACCTTCTCTCACCTATGTCCAAACCAAATACAGGGATCCAACAAAGATTATAGTGAAATACAACAATACTGATGATGATTGATGATGACAACAGGACAATGGTGGAACAGGGACATCATCGGTGTCCTAAGACAAGCAACCTTTACTGGTGCAGCTCCAAATGTTTCGGATGCATACACCATTAATGGTCAACCTGGCGATCTATACAGATGCTCTAGGACAGGTTTTGCTATTACTCTTAATGAAGCCTGATTCTAATAATCAGTAACTTGCAATTATACTGTTTATGTTTTGCTGCAGTTATGCTTAAAAGTGGAAGTTGACATGGGAACAGATGACTCAAATAATTAGACTATTCTAAAAAAAATTAATCAGACTAAAGATAGCAATAGGTAGGCGGCTCAAGTCCTTTTGGTATAATATCAAGAGGAAGAAGATGCATAGAGCCTTTTTCTATACGTGAAGGTCTGGAATTTGAATTTTCCCTTTGTGACCAAACCTAGATATTTACCTGGTAATTGCCCAGTGGGTGCAGGATAAAGGGATTCCACGCATCGGCAAGGAAGAGTTGTGAGCTCCAAGAAGTAGTGAAAATGACTAGACATATAATGAAGTAAAAGAACACAAGACAGTTAGCCTCAAGACTTCAGATAACTCCAATGACTTTTCAGGGGAAATACTATAAGAAGTATTAATCCTGTTATGTGTGGTTTTAGTGGCTCAGGCAGTACTTTGACGCATCAGTTAGTAATAGCATCAAGCGTGTACATTAACTTTAAATCATAATGCAGATACCATGAAATTCTACATGGAGTCCGGCGATACAATTGTCCTCAGAATCATCAATGCTGCTCTCCATCAACAGCTCTTTTTCACTGTTGCCAACCACAGGTTAACAGTTGTTGGTGTTGATGCTGCCTACACAAAGCCTTTCCCTACAAGAACCCTAATGCTGGGACCTGGTCAGACAACCACTGTCCTCCTAACAGCTGATCAGCCCCCAGCACGCTTCTACATGGCAGCTCGTGCCTACGCCACTGCTCAGAATGCACCATTTGACAATACCACCACCACTGCAATCCTTGAATATAAATCCATTCCTTGCAATGCCCAAAACAGCATGCCCTTAAAGCCAATCTTACCACAGCTACCAGCTTACAATGACACAGCCACTGTAACTGCATTCACTACTCAAATAAGGAGTCCTTCCAGTATCAACGGCCCCACTGAAGTTGATGAGAACCTATTTTTCACAGTGGGTTTAGGCATTGTCAATTGCATTCCAGGTCCCCAATGTCAAGGACCAAATGGTACCCGTTTTGCTGCAAGCATGAACAATATATCTTTTGTACTCCCAAGAACGACCTCCTTACTCCAAGCCTACTATCAAGACATACCTGGCATCCTCACGACAGACTTCCCTCCAGTTCCACCAGTGAAATTCGATTACACAGGTAATGTGAGTCGTGCACTTTGGCAACCAGTTTTTGGAACTAAGCTCTACAAGCTGAAGTTTGGTTCCAAGGTACAAATTGTGTTACAAGATACTGGAATCATCTCGACAGAGGATCATCCTATTCATCTACATGGATACCATTTCTATGTCGTCGGACAGGGTTTTGGAAACTTCGACTCAAGAAAAGATACAGCTAAATTAAACCTCATTGATCCACCACAGAGGAATACTATCAATGTGCCAGTGGGTGGCTGGTCAGTCATTCGGTTTGTTGCTGATAATCCAGGTAAGATGTTGATCATATATTGATAACACCCGATTGTTCCACTGATAACAGATTTTCTAATTCAGTATGTATTCATAACAGGAGTTTGGCTGATGCACTGTCACATAGATTCCCATCTCACTTGGGGTTTGGCCATGAATTTCTTAGTTGAGAATGGAGTTGGAGAGTTGCAATCCATACAGGCTCCTCCAGCAGATCTGCCTTCATGTTAGATTATTAAGAAAATGTGTCATTCATGAAACTTTTTCCCGTGACTATAACGGATTATCTGATGACAAGGCAATTTATATGAACACAAGCATATGTGGCGATATCTGCAGTGCACGTATATCACTAAAGGTTAACATAACTAACTCCAGGTTTGCTCATTTTTTGACTTGTTGGGTAACTGCAGTTAGAAATTAAGTTTAATTCAATGGTTTATGATGANAATCTGATGACAAGGCAATTTATATGAACACAAGCATATGTGGCGATATCTGCAGTGCACGTATATCGCTAAAGGTTAACATAACTAACTCCAGGTTTGCTCATTTATTGACTTGTTGGGTAACTGCAGTTAGAAATTAAGTTTAATTCAATGGTTTATGATGAAGGGCATATGATGCATAGTAGCCAAGTACGATACTAATTTATAGCCAAAGTTTTGCTTGCCTAGACACGGCACCTGGAATATGAAATCTAGAGGGTGTCTGCCACATATTTAGTGCCAATCACCATGACAGTCCTTAACGTTGGCATGGGAAGAAGATTATGAGATTTATAGGACAGAAACCACAGCTGATAAGTGCATCGGTTCTTGTTTTCGCCTTATCGGTTGCCGCTCTTCTTCCCACTTAATTCTTTCAACAAGCACAAATTAGCTCCTTTATGTGCCTAGCGGACAGATAGAATACATTTCTACCTGTTATAGCTTATTACCTTCAAGTATGAGGTAGGAGAGAAAAAAGGAAGATGGAACAGATGATTCCGGTGATCAATTATACACTTAAGCAATAATGGCATGAAACCCTGTTTCCCACAAAACCTAAACTTTGAAAACAAAAACGTAACAATTTCTAGAACATGGCAAAAATAACAATTCTGAAACAGTACAACAAATAATTTTTGCAAGCTTGGGATGGTTCAAACCTCTCACCAATCAAGCAACAAATTTAAGACAACGAGTATCACTGTGTATGTTCTGGCACCGGATTGAACAGAAACGCATCCCACATTTAACACATGTATAGTTGGCGTTGAATCCACAAACAGTACAGAAATGGCGGCGAGAAGTGGAGCTTGGAGGCCCTACTGCTGCTCTCAAATAGGAGGGAACATGAGGAGGCAGGGATTCCAGGTTTGCCTATTTTCATTGGTTGAATGGTGAGAATGATTGATTAACAACAGCCTAGAAGCCAAAAACAGATAAGAAGCAAGTTCTTTGATTACCTCATGCAAGAGCTCAAGGAAAGATCTTGGGGCCTTCTTAGCATTCTCAAGTGCTTTTGCTTGACGAGTTTTGCGCTTTGTGCTTTTCGATTGCCTCTTCTGGAATACTGCAACATCAGCCACAAGAAGAGTCAAAACACTATACCTAAGATAGAGAATAATACCAACAAATTACAGATGGTATACTAAAAAGAAACTTCCCATTAACCTATTAAGAAGAGAAAAAATAAAACTCAAACCAGTAGAAAAAAGTTCATGAGTAGAACTGCATAGAACTTATCCCAACTATAGGTCTAGTTGGCTTAAATAAACAGTTCTCGCTACTAAATGCAAACTTGAAGATACATGAAATACTTATGTTTGTATGCAACGATTTGGAAAGAAAAGAACTGGAATGAAAGGAAAGTTCCATCATCTGTATGGAAGTTTGTGGATTTAAGGACCCGTCACCCATTTTTTTTTCTTTTCTTCCCGAAAGTGGAAAGATTTGGAGAGAAACAAAAATTGAGTTGGTGATGAACAGTGTTGCTCCCAGTTTTTATGAAAAGTAATTCCCTAAGTTGTCCTTCCAGTTAAAAAAACCAATCATTCTTTTCTTTTCTTCTCTCCCTTTATTAACTCCCAAGTAAGGGGAGTGAATATGATATTTTCTTCACTTCTTTTCTCTCCTAAGCTCCCAAACAAAGATGAAGTACATTTTCTCTTCTTTTCTCCTCTCCTTCATGATCCCTTGTTTTATTTTCTTTCCAAAACTCACAAACATAAAGTTAGATGTCATTCGATGGACAGGGTAGCTACAGCCTACATGTAATTTTTTTCGAGGCTCCCCGTTTCAGGAGCATTGATAAGTAGGACCATATTTCAGGTATGGTAGTAATACCTAAATGATAGGCAGCTTATGTTAATCAAACATGTTTTCTATAATAATAATTCAGCTGTGAAACAAAATTACAGTCACAAAAGAAACTTGTAATCTAAAACATCTTCAAAGCAAAATTTATAATGTTTGACAAGCAAATATAGTAAAGAAATAAAAAAGGATTAATCAAAAGTAGACCTTGATCATCCTCATCGAGAGATGCATCGTCGTCATCGTCAGCCTGTATCAATTCTGCACCAGCATTGTCATTTTCCAAAGCTTCAAGACGAGCAAGAACTGCCTAATACAACAGTTTTAACAAAGAAGAATCACTGAATATTGAGATAGATGCCCAAGCTAGTAATCAATTCGAGGCCACAACCTCACTCAAATTCACAATCAAACACTGAAAAAGACGGCAATAGGAGTTCGACAGACCTGTGTTCGATTGTCATTGCTGGCAAGTGCCGCAGCCATTTTTGTAGCAACCCTACGAGTTCGAGTTGACATGCGACGGAGTGAATTTGGGGCATCATCGTCCATTGCTGCATAAAGAAACTTGAATTAGATGAAATAGCTCAAAATACCAGTGTCTCTGAATAGGTAGAGAAATGGAAGACCTAATTGTACTAACTCTAATCAAAACTCTCACATATCAAAACAAGATCATATATAGACATGAAGTCGCCCAGATAGAGAAAGAGAAACTAACGTGATTGTTGGTGGCCTCCAACGGAGGAATTAGCAGAGTTTAGAGAGAGAGAGGGCAGTCGGCGCAATACAAGCAGCGACGCTTGCCTGAAGAATGGGGTTTAACTCGAATGAGGTTTAAACCGGTTGGCTAGTTGAAGGGGGTGTTTGGATGGCCGGATTCGGGGGGATTATAGGAGAGATTGGGTTAAAATTGTGGAGAGGGTCCACGTATCCTTGGTTCGGCTATGAAAAATGAGATGGGATTTTTGTTGTGATTAAAAAAATCGTGTTTCAAGCCATTTATTCTCCCTAAGCTTAGCTCTGGATAGTTGAAACTCATGGAAAGTTTGGGGTCCATAGTGTTTCAAGCCATTTATTCTCCCTAAGTTGGATAGTTGAAATTCATGGAAAGTTTAGGATTGTGAAGTTAATGGGTAGGATTAAGTAGGACATTATGAAAAAAACTTTTCTAAATGATTTTTCTAGGGTTTTATCTGCTCTCCATTTCACTTTCATTTTCACCCACTGGTCATCTCTCTCCTGCTCTCTCCTTTTCTTCAGCTGCTATTGTTTGTGGCTTATGGAATTCTTTAGCATAAAAAATGGAGAAATTTAGAGGGTGGTCCCTTTATTATAAAGTCTGTTATTTGTCAATTTTATCATAGTATCCATTTTCTTTAGAAGTGAAATAAAACTAAAAATTAAAAACTCTTAAATTTTAGGAGTTTGACTANGTTTATTATAAAGTCTGTTTTTTGTCAATTTTATCATAGTATCCATTCTCTTTAAAAGTAAAATAAAACTAAAAATTAAAAACTTTTAAATTTTAGGAGTTTGACTAACATTAAAATCTTTTTTTTCTCATATCTATTTATATTCATATATAGGTTAAGAGTTTGACTAATATTAAAAATTTTAATTCTCTTATCTATTTATATATAGGTTATATATATAGTAACATTAAAAATAAAAAATAGTAACATTCAAATACAAAAAAAAGTTATCATTTGGACACAAAAAATAATACATTTAAATACAAAAAAATAGTAACATTTAAACATTAAAAAAATTGAAACATTCAATATTAATATTTTTAAAAAATAACAACAGTAGCATGTTCAACAAAAATATTAACATGTTCAACAAAAATAGTAACATACTTAACAAAAACTGTAACATACTTAACAATAATTATTTCTCTTAAATTCAAACGCAAAAAATAGTATCATTCAAATACAAAAAATAGTAATATTCAAAAAAAAAATAGTAACATTAAATATTAATATTTAAAAAAATAATAGTAGTAACATGGTCAACAAAAACAGTAACGTGCTTAAAAATAATAGTACATGAACAGTAACATACTTAACAAAAATAGTAACACAATAAAAAAAATAGTAACATGAATTTGAATTTTATTATTCAAATTTATAGTAATTTTNAAAAATAATAGTAGTAACATGGTCAACAAAAACAGTAACGTGCTTAAAAATAATAGTACATGAACAATAACATACTTAACAAAAATAGTAACACAATGAAAAAAATAGTAACATGAATTTGAATTTTATTATTCAAATTTATAGTAATTTTTTTTTTTGTATTTGAATGTTACTATATTTTTTTAATGTTACTATATATAGATAAGAGAGAGAAAAAATTTTAATGTTAGTCAAACTCTTAACCTATATATGGATTTAGATAGATATGACAGAAAAAAAAATTAACTTCCCTTCAAGGAAGAGTATTTTTGAGATAAAAAATAAAAGTGAGTTTAAGTCATTACATATAATTTTAAACATGAACTTAACCCTTTATAAATTTCATTACAGGATTTATCTGCAAACAAGTACATCTAGGAAAACTCACTTCCAATTTTCACTAAAAAATAGATTATCTTGAAGCGATTGGATGAGATCTGAATTGCTCTATCTTGTGATTTAATTTGATCTTTTGTCGCTCTTGATTTTCTTTCTCTCACTCTCAATTTACTTTTTTTCTCTCTCTCTCTCCCTCCTTCCTTCTTCCCTTTCTTCGTCTATTGTTGCGTGTGTCGTATGGACCTCCACAGGAAGAATACATGATGTTGGATTAGAAATTATTTGCTTACAAAGGCAAGGGCCTTTGTTTGTCTCTCCTTTCTTTGACTATTAGGGCCTGTTTGATATATGATTTTGGAGATTTTGGAATATGGGTTGGAGAATAAATTCTCTTAAATTTATGTTTGGCAACTATGTATTTAGCCTAGGGTTTGAAATACAACCCAGTCATGAAATCCAACTTCATGAGTTTTTATGAAACCCAAGGGGGGATGAGTTTCATATGTGAATTAATGAGTTTAATATATAAATGACATTTATACCCTCATATATGCAAATTGGTNAGATTTTGGAATATGGGTTGGAGAATAAATTCTCTTAAATTTATGTTTGACAACTATGTATTTAGCCTAGGGTTTGAAATACAACCCAGTCATGAAATCCAACTTCATGGGTTTTTATGAAACCCAAGGGGGGATGGGTTTCATATATGAATTAATGAGTTTAATATATAAATGACATTTATACCCTCATATATGCAAATTGGTNTTCTCTCTCCCTCCTTCCTTCTTCCCTTTCTTCGTCTATTGTTGCGTGTGTCGTATGGACCTCCGCAGGAAGAATACATGATGTTGGATTAGAAATTATTTGCTTACAAAGGCAAGGGCCTTTGTTTGTCTCTCCTTTCTTTGACTATTAGGGCCTGTTTGATATATGATTTTGGAGATTTTGGAATATGGGTTGGAGAATAAATTCTCTTAAATTTATGTTTGACAACTATGTATTTAGCCTAGGGTTTGAAATACAACCCAGTCATGAAATCCAACTTCATGGGTTTTTATGAAACCCAAGGGGGGATGGGTTTCATATATGAATTAATGAGTTTAATATATAAATGACATTTATACCCTCATATATGCAAATTGGTTGAGGGCGTAATAGTTATTTATATACAAATATATTATCATAATAATTATATATCATTGCGGATACCAAACATGAGTATAAATAACATTAAATGTTGAATCTCATCTTTGAATCTCATATTTGGATTTAGAAGGATTTGGACAAGTTAATCCAAACCCCTCCCAAAAAACATATCAAACAGCTTAGAGTTTGTTTATTTTAACTTTTAAATTGAGTAGAGTCAATTGTGAGGGGTAGGAGTGCAACTCGGGCAGGTTGGGCGGGTTGAAAGGTTAATCCTAACCCAACCTTAAATATATAATCTTCAACCATAACCCGACCTCAACCCAAGGTACTTTACCCCGAGTATTGTCCGAGTTTAAATCAGGCGGGTTCGAGTTGAATCCAAATTACTTAATTCGAGATAAAATCGGGTTAGACTTGAGTTACTTAATTCGAGTTGATAAAAGAGAGGAGTGACGAGTGAGAGAAGAAAACCGAGAGTCTGAAACGAGACTCAAATGAGTGAGAGAGGGAGTATGAGAGTCTAAAACCATATAAGAAACGAATGACCAGTGAAANTCCAACCTTAAATATATAATCTTCAACCATAACCCGACCTCAACCCAAGGTACTCTACCCCGAGTATTGTCCGAGTTTAAATCAGGCGGGTTCGGGTTGAATCCAAATTACTTAATTCGAGATAAAATCGGGTTAGACTTGAGTTACTTAATTCGAGTTGATAAAAGAGATGAGTGACGAGTGAGAGAAGAAAACCGAGAGTCTGAAACGAGACTCAAATAAGTGAGAGAGGGAGTATGAGAGTCTAAAACCATATAAGAAACGAATGACCAGTGAAAGAGAGATTTGAGAGTGATGGTGCAGGAGTAAAGATTTGAAGTGAAATAAAAGTTTGGATTCTAAAGAATGAAGATAAATATTAACTCTAATTAAATATATTTATGTATATTCGAGTTTAACCCGACAACTCAAGGCTTCAACCCGAGGCTTGTTTGAATTCAATTCGGGTTGAAGTTTTTTTGCCCAAGCCCAATCTAAATATTAAAAATTCTAACTTAAATCCTGTTATTTTTTTTTTATTTGGGCTCAGGTTGAATTCGTGTTGGCTCGCCCAAATTGCACCCCCAGTGAGTGGCTTTTCTCCTCAAAGTACATTCAATTGGTGAATGAGAGACTAAATCATTTCTTCAAAATTTCCACATCTATCAGGAATTGGTTTATTGGTCCATCCAATAATAATATATAAAACTGAACATTTCAACTTTTAGGATTATAATGTTCAAAAAAAAAATCAATTCTAAATTACAGAACTTATAATGGCAATATGATATTGAAATTTATTTACGATATGGTAGTCTTCTTAGTCTCTAGATTAAAACACATACAACTAAAATCTTTAATTACAATAGTACTAAGATAGCAAAAGAATAAGTAATCTCAACTCACAAGCTCATCAAAATGTCAAATTGAAAAATAAAAGTAATATTAAAATGTCAAATTGAAGACTGAAAGTTACATCAAAATATCAAATTGAAGAATGAAACCTAAAGTTATCCAGGTACACCAAAAAATTGGAAGTCGTCATGTCATTTAACTTTCCAGATTTTTTGGTGGATCATGTCATTTAACTTCTAATAACAAACCAAAACTACACCTACGAAGCCCAAAACAATATCAAACAACCGGCAAAGTATGTATACTCCTTAATTTTCAAAGCACTAGGATCGATAATAACAAAAAAAGTTGGAGGTGAAAAGCTTTTGGAACAAGATGATGGAGAATAATATAAATGGCCAAATATTTTGCTTGTGTTGATTACTGTTGAAATATATTTCAACCATATATTTATTAGAGCAAATAACTTCATAATAGTGGCAAGAAGGGCAAGGGCGACCCTACACATATAGAGTTGCGGTATGATTTATTTTCAATGTTTAAGTGTTTTTGGGATAGGACGGGATCAGATAGTAAATTTGGTGCAATTGTAAAGTTAGAATCTTATAGATTAATAAATTAAATGAAGTCTTAAAAGATAGCAACAGAGTTAAAAATAAAGATAAAGAACCAGAGCAAGACTGGAAAGGATAAAAAAAAGTTGGAAAGAGGTGGTGAGAGTGGAGGAAAAAATAATGAAAAAGAATTTGAGAGTGATTGTTACTTTTAAATTAGAAATTGTTACTTTTAGATTTTTTTAGAAAGTTTTATTATATTTTATGACTTGACATAGACTTGTGAAAATGTTGTTATATTTTAGGATTTTCTATAAAGTTTTAGATAGATTTTTGAAATATATTGGACATTTAACTTAGTCTATTCAAAAATGTTTTAGAACATGAATTAATGGTCAGGCCTACTATGCCTCCTCCCATTCAAATGATCGAAGTGTTTGTGTATTTCATAACAATTGTAGTCTTTGTTTGCACCTCATTATCAAGTCTTCGTTTTTAGAACCGATTAAGTGAGACAAATTAATTAATTAATGATGCGTAAGGATTAAAAGATAATATATGTGTTACTCCATATTTTATGTATTTTTTTAATTTGTCAAAAATAATGTGTGGACGATTATAAAGTACTATTATAGTAATGATATTTAATGTTACAACATGGTGTCACATAATTTTTATTTTTAGTAATTTAGGCATTTAATATATAATAAGCATTACGTATTTGTTATTTCATACTCATACTATTTGAGTGCAACTGTTCAATAGTAAAATATATAAGAATTGTAAATGTGCATAGATCATCATGACTAAGTACACATTTTTTAGCAAACTGATCGATACATTTGTTTATCTCTTACTTGAACCTCACATTTCAGAACATTATATATTATTTTATTACTATTTTTATGTTAGTCTTATTTGTTTTGTATGCTCTTCATAAAAATTGTGATGTTAGATCATCGAATATCGATATGTATTCATAATTTTTTGTTATCTTGATATTGAATTATTTTTTTATTTTTTTATGATCCATAACTTATTTATGTATGTAACATTCACCTACTGTTTTGTTGCATTTTATTTTCTCTAATAACAACTTTATTGGAAGTTTTTTTTCATATTAATTAGTTTTTATTAAGGATCCTTTATGAGAACGAACAATTTAATTAATTGGTGTTTTTGTATTTAAATAAGAACAAAATCAAGTTTGAGAGAAGTAAAAAATGTGTTTAATTTATTTTTATTTGTGGAAGAGAGGGAAATCCTTATTATATTTTTTTATTAAAGTATTAACCCTTTTTTTGTCCATTAATAAATATTTACGTGAGTATTATACCTTTTTATTAAAGTGTTAATCCTTTTTTTGTCTTTTAATAAATATGTATGTGAGGTGGATTGTACTTTTAAACCTAAATTCTAAATTTTATTTTGTTGACTTAATCTCTTAAAAAAAAATTTTGTTAAGCTAAATTATAATGGATCTTAATTTTTGATCTATATTTAATTATTAAATTTTGGAATTTTTTTATGTGTGGTGGGTTGAGCCGGTCATGAAGAAGGGACAGTGTAAAAGGCGCCCGCCTATTATTGCATTTCAGGTTTAATTCAGTTGAGATCACTTTTCAAATTACTCTTTGAAAGACAAAGAAGTAATTGGCTAATCCAAAGGTTGTGGAATGTAAATACTCCAGTCGACTCTGTTGCATCTGGATTACACCATATAGTTATGTGGCTTTTCATTGTTGTGTGTCATGTGCTGCCTCAAACTGATTGTCTAGTGTGTTGTCTCAATCTAATTATCCTTTTTTTTCTTTCTGGATTAGTCAAACACACAAATATGTTAAAAACCCTTATTTATAACATATATGTTTATGATAAAATAAATAAATCAATAAATAACATATATTTATTATTCGTGTTAATCGATATTGTCATTTACGGGTTCGTGTTAAGAAATGATCAACTTAAACCTGTTAAGTTTGTATTGATTTCAAGTCGTATTGTTGTATCATATCAGAAGTTGTCACCCCTAATTCCGTTTGTTTAGGGAGAAAATGGTAAAAAATGCAAGAAAGAATTTTGTTTAAAAATTTTCATGTGCTTGGTTAGCACGAAAAGGAAAATGATAAAAAAAAATAATTTTCTTTCATACTTGAATTTTCTTACAAATAATCAACTTTTTTTCTTGTAAAAAACACAAAGAAATACAAAAAAATTGTAGTATATAATTAATTTCTCATTTTATCTTTATTTTTCTTAAAATATTTTATTGGTTATTAATTTTAAAAAATTTTGGTATGCATTTGATTAATCATATAATTTGGCTCAAAGACTTTTGTGTTGGTGATTGTCTTAGAATTAGGTTTTGAGCCACTTTTTTTTAAATTTTTTGGCTTTCAATTATAATTACATATTTTTTTGGGACCAATTTAATCTAATTAAGGGTAATTTAGACAAATGTAAAAAATTTCTTATAACTTTACTTTCATTCAAATAATAAAATGAAAATTTTTTAAAACTTTCTCATAATTTTTCATTCTAACCAAATACATGCATGAAAGTATATTTTCTATTATTTTCTTTTCTTTCACTCCACTTTCTATTAATTTTACTTTCCATAACTTTTTTTCTTCCTAACAAAACAGACCCTAGGTGAATATATATTTTGGAAGTGTTTCTAAATCAAAAAGTATTTTTATTTATGAAAGTGTGTTTAGTAAAAATATTTTAAAAGTGCTTAATATCCATACTTAACTAATATTATCCTTAACTTTGATTTTAAAACTAAATTCATCTAATATATTTCAGTGAGTAAATTGCAAATCCATATCAATAAAACATGCAATTGATTTTCTGGCAAAGTAATATCCAATTCTTTTGTTTTTTTTTTTTTTCTGAAGTCACATTTTTGTGTGGATATATTTCAACAATTGATGATCAAATCACTCTGATGTTTAAGTGAACTGGGGCGGATTTACACCCGGTGTGCAGTCTTCAATATCATTTTAGAATTTATATCTAGGTTTAAAATTTTAACTTAATTTATTAACATAATTATGTTTCAAAGTGACGTGGTTTCAGTAAGAAGTCCACGAGTTACAATGAAATGTAATTAAAATAATAGTTATAGACTATATTAACTACTACATAATTAAGTTATCGAATTAAATCAATTTTTTAAATCCAAATAACTTCATTCTTCAAGTTTTATTGAATAAATGGGATTCTTTTGACTTAAAAAAAATTATATGCACGCTTCGTTCATATGATTCAATGTCACGACTCTCAGATAAAACCTAAATATCGATAAATTAAAGGAGATTTGGTGCTAAGTTCACACGAAGGGGCTTTTTTTTTTTTTTTTGGCATTAGATTCAATCTCACTACTTTTAAGATCAAAAGTCTATAAAATCAATCATTGACAAAAATATCCTTACTGAAGTAGGTATTTAAAATGGTTAATCTCAAATTACATCCTGAAAAATCATTCAAATTTTAATTTGCACCCTCAAAGATCAAAAAACTTAATTTGTACACTGAAAGATAAAAATTTGTATTAATGCACATCTCAAGCTAACAGCCATCAGTTTACTGTCTAAAATTAAATAGATAAATTACACCTAGACCCCTTCATGCTTGTCACTTAATCACTTAGATCTCTCACATTTGAAATATTACATATATATCTCTTTAGAACCTAAATATAACTAAAAATGTTTCTCCAATTTGACATCCAAATAATTCTGTTTAAGTGATGTATTGTATTGCATATAAAGAACATTATATAAATACTTGCATTATATTGGACATTCAAATGGTAAACTTGATTTTGAAGTTTAGAGTATAACGACCTCACAAAATAAAGGATAGTATAAAAATTATAATTTTTTAACAGTTAAAAACATATTTTTAATAATATCTTAATAATATTTTAAAAATTATTAAGATAAAAACATATTTTTAATAGTTATATTAACAGATATCAACGATAAGGGATTATATGTTACACATGCACAAACGTCAAGAGTTGTAGCAGTAATATTCTAAATGTGAAGGGGTTCAAATGATTAAGTGACAAGTATGAGATGATCTAGATATAATTTATCCATTTAGTTTTAGACCGCAAACTGACGGCTGTTAGTTTTAGATGTCCATTGATACAAATTTCTATCTTTGAGGGTATAAATTGATATTTTTAATATTTGAGAAAATAAATTGATATTCGAACGATCTTTCTTGATGAAATTTGCGACTAGCTCGATAATAAAGTGGTAACAACCAAAACTAAAACGAGACGGTGTCTAATTCAAATCTTAACAACTATTTGGGTTAAATTAAAACGAGATTTATTTTTCTCTACTTTCAGTGTGGTCTGCTTTGATCAGATTAGAAAGTAAATTAGTCTATGGAACAATGTTATTGAAACCTAATTTATTGATCTAATTTGCTAATTTAATTAACTATGACTTTTGAATTAATTGTGGGCTCCATCAAATATTAGAACAAGGTGTTGATCAAATGATTTTAATGAAGCCACATCAATAAGTCGATAAATTTTTAGATCCAAATAACATTACTCTTAGCTTACATGTACTTAAATTGCCTAAGACATCTTTGATTATTGAAACAAAAAAATAATAATAAATAAAAAAAAAGAAGAATGGGATTCTATTTAACCAACAAAATATCCATATGAAAACTATTACACCACGGACCAATGCTATTGAGATTTAATTTATGGATATAATTTAGAAATATAATGAGTTGTCACCAATAATATGATAATGAATTCATTTAATGCTACAATGAGACTCATCGTTAAATACATTTCACTATCATTTCATTGGTGACAACTCATTATGTCTCAAAATTATGTTCCTAAATTATGTTCCAATAGCATTACTGTTACACCACGTCATTTTTGTTTCATATAAAAAAATTAAAATTTATTTTATTAAATAGTAATACTACGTGATATTAATGATGTGATATCTCCTTATATTGACCAAACCCACATTGAGACACATGGTATAAGGAGAGTAGCCTTGTGTGATTTTTTTTTTCTTTTAAGTACATAATTATATATAAAAAAAATACTATTGAGTCCTAATATTTTGAGCTCTATTTAATATTAAAATTTATTGTTTATCCAATATAGTACTTGAACATAGCCGGCTTAGAGCTCTCTCGAGTAATCGACAAAAATATGGACACTTTGTAACAAAAAATAATAATAAAGTTCATGCTACAGTATGGGTTATCAAATATGCTCACAAACTACTACACCGTTTTGACCTAAAGAAACTCATAAAAAAACTAAGGTTAATATACAATTGTCTTTTCTAGCTAACATTAATAAATTCATTGCTAATATCAATTATGATGAAAATCTTCTGAGGAGGAAACAACCAGCTGAATCCCTCTCTTGACCTCTTAAAACCTGTTGTTGCACAACTAATACAGAAGCTGTACTGTCTAAATCCATGGATGCAACATAGTCTCCAATAACTCCAAGTTCATCTATGTTATCACTCCAATTCGATAATCCTTGGATTAACAAAATGTTAATCCCATGTTTCCTCCCAACAATCCAAAGATCATAATGGTCATCATTCATTGCCTGAATTGCAGCAACAGTTTCTTCCCCATTCTTCACTACTACTTCCCTGTAAACCACTTGACTATTCCCCTCATTTTTCACCCAAAACCATGTCACCAGACCATCATCAAGCTTCTTCTCCATCTCCAAATCTCCCTCATTGTTTTGTGAAAGAAACCTTATGACAGTAAGCGATACGTCGGGGTTCCCAGCCATCCTATCTGCATAAGCCAGGGCCTCTCGAGCGTCTCCTCCACCCAAAAAAAGCACAACAAAGTGGTGGTGGCTCGCTTGCCTGCTTGGCCCTTTGTCCACCAAAACTCCAACAGAGCAAGGTGCATGAGCCAGAACATTCGAGTTTACGGATTGAACACCTTGACGGACCATCTCTGTTCGACCAAGTTCCTTGTGAAAAGGTAGGATAATAAGAGAAGCTTTCTTGTCAAGAGCAAGCTCACAAATGTCTTGGTACATGCTTCTCTTTGGGGACACTGATGTAAAGGAATGGATCTTCACAACTTCACCTTTGGATTCTTGAAAAAGCCTTAAGGCATTGTGAATTGAGTTGAAGCTGGTGTGCTGAAAGGCTTGCTCTTGATTCTCATGGTCTATGAACAAAGAGGTGGCACGGCCAACAAGCTCGACGAGGCGAAGGGCGTAGACTGAGAAAGGACTGCTCACTGTTGGATTCGAGACTTCGAGCAGATTGATGAAACCGGCCACACTTTCTTGATCATGGATGCAGGCTACTATATGGATTCCTGTGTTCGGAGGATTGTGCTGGATGTTTCTTCTAGTGTTCACCATGTATGGCCTTGTCGGATCATAGATCATGCTAATCAATGGTGTAGCTACTGCAGGGATTGCTGTTGTCAATAAAACCATCATTGTAAAATATGGCTTCGTTATCATCTGTATTGAGCCATAAAAAATAAACCTGTCAATCTGTTGTGTATAATTGTTTTGTTTTTAAGTTGTGCAAGTAATCAAACATCAAAATTTGTTTATGTATAATCAAGACTCATAATTTCAAATTCGTATCGCTTATAAATCGTAAGGTAAAGTTAACTTACGACATATTAAACTGATTTTATCTCAACCCATTTTTTTGATAGGTCTAATGAGTTTACTTGTTTACCATTCAAATAGTTACGCATGTTATATCTGTATTAGATTCCGGTATGTCTTGTTGACTATATTCAAAATTGCCTATATCCTAGACAATTTAAGTTGCTCTTAACTCTGTGCATGTGTGTGTGTGTGAGAGAGAGAGAGAGAGAGAACCTTTAAATCCATCCAATGGATGTATAACAAAAGCTCAACATGGCCTCTTTCGCTCATTATGAGACTAAGAGTAAGACTATCTCTGAGTGGCATGTGAAAGAAACGAGAAACAGCTAGAGTTGCAACAAACTTGGTGAAGTACCCGGCCAAAGCAATGAAAAGGAGTGGCTTCAAGCTCGACCACAATCCACTCATGGAGGACACATCCGTGTACATACCAACAAAAGCAAACGAAAATGGCATCAAAACCTCCATTATGATCGTCTCACTCCTCTCTACAAGAGTAGCCCCCAATGGAGGCCCATCAGGTACAGCCAGGCCCAGCCAAAGAGGCCCATTAGCAATAGCTAGACCACACATATCACTCACAAACCCCACCACCAAAACACCCAACAAGATGGCAATAACATAAAACTGTTCCACCGGTTTGCCTTCCGGCGTTGATCGGACAATCCAAAGCATGGCCTGTCGAACACCACCGATAATGGAAGCCAAAACCACCACAAATGAAACCATATACCACAATGCAGCAATACCCTTTCCTTCCCCTTGTTTAGCTGCCTCAAAAGCGACCACGCCATTTATTCCGATCACATCGCTGATCACCGCCGTTGACAAGGCCATCCGGCCAATCTCGGAGCTCAAGAGGTTGAGCTCTTGAATGATGGTATAGAGAACTGGAAATGCTGTTATGCCCAAAGATGAAGAAACTCCCCAGATTGAAGAACCTTTGGCAAGTTCTTTTTCCATTGACTTCCGAAAAACAAGAGCAATTGATCCAGTGGTGATTATAGGAATGAGGACACCAAAGAATGCAATGTACCAGTCTTTTTTCCCCGATTTCTTGATTGTGGTGAGGTCCATTTTCACCCCAGACAGGAAGAGGAAGTACATGAAACCCATCACTCCCACATTTTTCAACACGTAAGTACCATGGTCTGGGAACACATATGTAGCAAACTCCTTGTTCCGGCCTAAGACAGAGGGGCCAATTATGATACCACCCTAGTAAAATGTAAATATTAAAGGAATACCACAACATTAGCCCACAATTTTTTTTTTTTTAAAAAAACACAGTTATTTCTATTTAATTGGTGCGTTGAATCTTTGTATTTAGAGTTTAATTTGGGGTCGGAAATTTTTGTGTATATCTTGTTAGACAAATCATCTTCAACACGCTCTCTCGCATGTAGGCTAAATTTTGAATCTAACATGTAAAAATCTTTTAATAATTATGACAGCAACGAGATTCGAATATAATAACTCTAACCCTAATACTACCATATTAGACAACTTTTTACCCCAAAAATTTAAGATAGTAGGAAGAATGAAACTTTAGTATTTATACTTTAACATATTTTGAACTATATCTCACGCTTCCTTCTCTTCTCAATGGAATCAATTTTCACCAAAAAAAAAAAAGAAGAAGAATACAATTTCCTATGAGATGCAATTTTATTCACGAGAGATTGGAAACAATAAAAAGAACCCAAATGAAGGGATCTTAGTTAAATTCTTTTTCCAAGGTATTTAGGCCTTGTGATGCACTGTACATGAGGAAAAATAGAAGAATGGAACTTACAATGATTTCTGAGACAATTCTGGGTTGTTTGAGAGGTTTCAATAGAAAGCGAAGGATATGGGTGATGAAGATGACTATGGAAATTTCTAGCAACACCAGTGGAAAAGTGTAATCTAAAGGGTTTTCTCCGTAGAAAATGCCAAAGGGATGACTCGGTTGAGTGGGTCGACATATAACCAGGCCTTCGTTGATCAGCTTGGGGGGTTCCGTAAGATTAACTTCCATCTGTGTATTTCCTGCTCAGAATCGATTAATGCTCATCTGTAGTGGAGACGGAGAAAACCCTAACCATGCAAAGCTGTATCTGAAAACCCTAACCATGCAAAATGAGAGAGAGAGAGAGATTTTCACATACCATGAGAGAGATAGAGAGTGAGTAAAGTAATGGAGCAGCGTTAAAAGTGGTTTAGAAATCCAATGTCTTGGTTGCCGTTGTTCATTCAGTTGTGACGGTTATTTAGGTGAAACCACCAATTCTAAGTAGAAATTGTATTAAACATTGTATTACAAATGATTTGGTCAATCCTACACGTTGAGGGTGTGTTTGTTTGGAAGATATGTGGGGGTATTAGGAGATGGAATAGAATAAATTAATACATGAGGCCCACTTATATGTTGTTTGTTTTTCAATTTAAGTTTAGTACTATTTTTATGGTTGCTCTAAACCCATGTACATGACTATATATAATACCACTTGGTTCAGTCGGATTAAGGGCCAACTACGGTATAAATGTGTTAATTGACTATAATATCCCTTCCTACATATCTCTCGTATAAAATAATAACACAGATAACATTTTTCAATACCAGAATATGCTATCCGAGAAACAAATTACTCTCTAAATGTTTTGTAAAAATGAGTGACACCCACTAATCTAATCAACTACGTTGAAACATGGCAATGCTCTACAACAAATATAACTTCAATCTATCCCTTCACCACAAGTATGAAGATGTCCATTCCCTCCCCACTCCTTGTCAACACATACAGACATTCTTGCTCTGGATAGTTATGAAAGTGGTCCATTTGAGATTCAATAATATTATTCAAATTTAATTTATTAACCTAATTTGCTATAGTTATTTGGATTGACAATGAACCCGATAACTTGTTAATAATACAAGAAATTAATGTTTATCACTATCCCGTTTGTCACTATCTCGGAATAGTGACATCGAATTTTGTTCAAGTGATATATATATATATATATATATAAATCTGAAAAAAGAGAGAATCCTAATTATGCTGTTATGGCAAAATTCAAAAATGTACCTGAGGCAGAGGGAGTCATAATTATGAAACATTCAAAATGAAAGGGATTTAAATTTATTTGAATTTTAAAATGTGCATTTTAAATGAATATTATTAAATTTTTTATTTTTTATTTAAATAAAGGTAAATAATTCTTTTGAAATGAATTTGTCCTTTAATACCCAAAAAAGCAAAAAATGTTTGGACCTAATAACTTGAAAGTACATTTGGACCGATGACCAAAAAACTCTTTCAATTTTGCACCTTTTTTTTACGGGTCATCTTGTGGGCCTATCCAATGGGTCAGCTTAATATGGCCAGATAATTGGGCTTAAGAGGCCAAGAACCACGATCCACGTCATTACCTTTTATCAACAAAGCTGTCAACCCCATGGATCGGTTGAGGCTGAATTTCTCAAATTAGAGAAGACTACATTACTGGAAAAAAAAATTTGATATAGTATCGACATTACAAGTTTATGATTTTTTTTTTTTTTACATTTTTTAAGAATCATTTATAATTTTGTGGTGATTTCGATTGATTCTAAAAATATTCTAACATTTTTAGGATCGATTCTGACAGTTTTAGAACTGATCACAAAAAATGGTAATTTGTCCCAAACAAATTGTAACTTGAACCTTAAAAATTGTAAATTTTTTTGTATTAAAAAAAACCCCAAAAAAATTCTATCAAAACTTGGTGATAAATATCGAATTTTTTATTTTTCAGTATTGTAGTGTCATTTTGAATGGCTGTGAATCACCTTGTACAATTTCCACATCTTGCAAATTCCATGAAAGAATTTGTGGCATGAGAACGTGCGTGCGGGTGTGTCTCTGTGTCAGAGTGGTGGAAACAGATACGAGCAATAAGCGACATTGACAGATCAAACAAGAAGATCTTCCATTTGGCTACTTATTTATCGTGGATAGCACTATACCAAAAGTTATTATTGCTAAGGATTAAATTGTAGTTTTTTAAAGATGAATGTATAATTATTTGTGATCGATCATTAATAACTTCACTAAGTTATAACTCTGTCTACAAGGGTAATTAACAAGGGTCGACCTCATTTTTCCAATGTTATTGAAGACCAAGGAGAGGGAACTCCATGATCGATTAAGCAATCACTTTTGAGCTTTGAATTTTGCTGATGAAAAATATTAATACAGGTAATAAGTGTGTCTACATTAATAAGAGGCACCAAAGTACGATAACAAAAAAGATGGCAACCCCTTATTCAAACATCCTGAATTTTGGGGGAAGTATACGCCCTCCTCCCCCGTCCCCAAAAAACAAAAAAAAAAATTAAAAGTGAGAGTGTTACGCTTTTTATCTTTCAAAGAAGAAATTATTTTCTCTCTTTTGGTGTTTGGTAAGAGAGATAAAAAGTAGAAAAGATTGTTTTTTGATTTGATAAAATTCAAATAAATTTAAATCCCTTTCATTTTGAATGTTTCATAATTATGAGTCCCTCTGCCTCAGGTACATTTTTGAATTTTGCCATAACAGCATAATTAGGATTCTCTCTTTTTTCAGATTAATATATATATATATATATATATCACTTGAACAAAATTCGATGTCACTATTCCGAGATAGTGACAAACGGGATAGTGATAAACATTAATTTCTTGTATTATTAACAAGTTATCGGGTTCATTGTCAATCCAAATAACTATAGCGAATTAGGTTAATAAATTAAATTTGAATAATATTATTGAATCTCAAATGGACCACTTTCATAACTATCCAGAGCAAGAATGTCTTTATGTGTTGACAAGGAGTGGGGAGGGAATGGACATCGTCATACTTGTGGTGAAGGAATAGATTGAAGTTATATTTGTTGTAGAGCATTGCCATGTTTCAATGTAGTTGATTAGATTAGTGGGTGTCACTCATTTTTACAAAACATTTAGAGAGTAATTTGTTTCTCGGATAGCATATTCTGGTATTGAAAAATGTTATCTGTGTTATTATTTTATACGAGAGATATGTAGGAAGGGATATTATAGTCAATTAACACATTTATACCGTAGTTGGCCCTTAATCCGACTGAACCAAGTGGTATTATATATAGTCATGTACAACTTTTAATTAACTTTTTCTGTCTTTTCTATTTTATGTCTTTACAAAACATGATATTTTATCTATCTATCCAATTTTTCTGATGTATCAAACAAAGTATGAGAGTCGAAAATAAAATTCAACTCACATATAGGATGACAATCATGTATTGTCGTGTCGGGTTATTGTACGTTCATGTTGAGCACTAGTTGACCATAACCTAATTTATTTAACTAATCGTGTTATATCGACTGACCTATTTATTTTTCATGTCGAGTTTGCACCCGTATTCGTGTTATAACCAATATAAACTTCAAATAAAGAACTTAACGTTAAGACTTAAGTTTAAGATTTTATTATCAATTAATTGAATTCATGCTCATACTTTTTCTATAAATTAAAAATTAACTTAATAAACATAACAATAATATTAAGTACAAATGTATTTTTTTATACAATAATTATGTCAATACTTAATAAACAATAATAAATTGTTAGAATTTTATTTTTATAATATTAATTAATGTGTTAATCATATTAATTTTGTGTTTAACACTAACCTAACAAATTTATTATTCATGCCAATGGTTCGTGTAATTTACGAATTCGTGTTGAAAAAATCAACTCTAACCCACTGCCCACTGTGTTTTTGTCTTCCGATAACTATACAAAGGATTTTGTAGTTCACCCAGAAAATCTAGTGCACTTAAAAAAGAATAATCATTTTTAATTTCAAAAATCTGATTTTCAATATCAAAATATATGGAATGGTTGTCCCCATTACTATTCCTAACTAAAAAAGTGTCATCAAGAGATCAAATTCTGAATGTTCTTGATGCTGAATAAATGGTGATCAACATTACTGAAACTATCCTTTCTTCTTCCAACTTTTTGATCTTCCCATTCATTCCCTGTGAACCCTTCTTCCCCCAATTCCTTTCATTCTACTAATGAAATAATCTATAATAGTTCAAAAATCTAGATCGACTAATTTTGGATTAATAGTCAGTTTGTTCCATCTTTTTTCCCACCTTCAGAAGAATAAAACATAGACATTTACCTCTATTGTTAAAATTTTTTGAAAGTTAACTATCTCAGTTTCATATATATATTTATATAAAAAATTTTAAAAAGACTTTATTTCATAAGATAAAAAAAGACTTTTTTCATCTAAATAAACACAACAACGGATTTCTTTGTCTGCTGTTTCAAAAATTTTCATTTTTTTTATAATATTTTTGCAAATTTAATTTCATTGATCAATTCAGAACATCTGTTCCTCGACAGTATCTATTGATACTTTCAAAATTAGAAGAAATTGCCACCCTGCTCACATAGTTGGTCCACAAACATAAAACAGAGTATTTCATACAACAAAATTTTTTACAAGAATGTAGCTTTTATTATGGGTAGGCTTAAAGGTTTTTCACCCTTAAAAGTTAATCACCTTTGAGAAACAAAGGAACATTATAACTCAATTCAAACCACAATAATCGTGACTCAGCTCAAACCGTGATCCGCATCCACTGATCTGGAGAATAATTAATGCAAATTTAGACAATTCTTGTGCCCAAAAAACAAATAGATTACTTTTCTAGTTTCATCTCAGAATCTTTTCCATGGATTTTGGTAAACCCCATGTTGATTCAATGGCTGTGTTGTTATTTTTCCCAGGTGGATTTGGTAAAGGCCTCAAGTGGATTCTGGGATCAGGTATTTGCCCCCACTGAGGCACAAACTCTATAATAAGCAAGTTGGTGCACAGAGTGATAATACTTTCAATAGAAAAGCGGTGCAGTCGTACAATCTGCTTCATGACACTAACATAATGTAACCAAGAACTACAGCTACTGTATTTGTTTGGGGTGGATGGATAACAACTGCCATTGTCAAGTGCATCACCACCACAATAACAAACATTACTAACAGAATCCCCCATGGAGCCTGGGTCCAATTCACCTGTTGGAAAAACCCATCATCTCAAAATACATACTACACATACGTTTTTTCACTTCCGGTTCTAAGGTACAGCCTAGCAAGTTGACATCCACAAAAATAAACCCATAAAAAAAAGTACTGAACATCCTCAATGAAATGTAACTATTACATGCTCCAATAGGATTTACATATTTGGCTTCAGGCATATGCTCTTATTTCACTAAAAAGTGTGATGAATAAAAGTTTAAAATACCACCAACGCACAGAAATCAAAAACTCCAAGCCATGGAGTAGTGGGTGATTCTGTTCAAGCACATTGTCCACTATCTTCAAAATAAGAGGATCATATTATAATAACCATAGGATCAGGAGAGATTGGAAATCTGTTACAGGTAAGCTGGTTTCTTTGTCCCCATACAATCAAGACACGAATTGTACCCTAAAGTGACATCAATCTTCTCATTAGTTCCACATACAATATATCCCAACCGTACACGTGGTGGCATATAATAGCATCCATTGGTCCCACAATGCACCTCAAGCACGATTGGATAAGTATGTAGAGNGAAATCTGTTACAGGTAAGCTGGTTTCTTTGTCCCCATACAATCAAGACACAAATTGTACCCTAAAGTGACATCAATCTTCTCATTAGTTCCACATACAATATATCCCAACCGTACACGTGGTGGCATATAATAGCATCCATTGGTCCCACAATGCACCTCAAGCACGATTGGATAAGTATGTAGAGCAATAAAATTACTTTTGAGCCCCAAGTCAATCTGTGGCATCATTCGTCTTTCTGAAATGAAAGCTCAAAGTTTTTAAGAATATAAAACTTCAATCTACATTGAAAGATTTCATCAGTTTATGGCATAAATAGGGCGATAATGATGAGGGTTGATGAAGTAGTAAATGGTATAAAGCAAGAGATGAAGACGTGACTTAGACGAAGTTGGAGAGGAGTCAACATCCACAGTTAATANAGTTTTAAGAATATAAAACTTGAATCTACATTGAAAGATTTCATCAGTTTATGGCATAAATAGGGCGATAATGATGAGGGTTGATGAAGTAGTAAATGGTATAAAGAAAGAGATGAAGACGTGACTTAGACGAAGTTGGAGAGGAGTCAACATCCACAGTTAATAATACCCCATTATTAAAAAGCCTGCAACAAAAATTTAAGACACAAGCATAAAAACCCTAGGCTCACACTGTCACAGAACTCTCAAAAAGGGCCACCCTACCCTCTGGAGAATACCCACTACGTCTCAGACTGCATTGATGTCTCCCTTCCTTTCCCAAAGAAAGAATTTCATCAGAGAAGAAAAATCTTTGATCAAATCTTTTTCTTTTTTTTCGAGTTTTTGCTTTTCAACTAAAGCTTNTGTCACAGAACTCTCAAAAAGGGCCACCCTACCCTCTGGAGAATACCCACTACGTCTCAGACTGCATTGATGTTTCCCTTCCTTTCCCAAAGAAAGAATTTCATCAGAGAAGAAAAATCTTTGATCAAATCTTTTTCTTTTTTTTCGAGTTTTTGCTTTTCAACTAAAGCTTATTTCTGCTAAAAGAGAAAACTCAGAAGAGTACATTCCTGTTAGAATGAGCAAAACACCACATGACATAGAAGATCATCATAGGAGGTGAAAAGATTTCTTCNTCTTTTTCTTTTTTTTCGAGTTTTTGCTTTTCAACTAAAGCTTATTTCTGCTAAAAGAGAAAACTCAGAAGAGTACATTCCTGTTAGAATGAGCAAAACACCACATGACATAGAAGATCATCATAGGAGGTGAAAAGATTTCTTCAGTTCAACCATCCTTGGCCAAAATATCTACAGAGTGATTGCTTCCAATGAATCTGAGAACCAGTTCATCTTTCCACAGATAAAAAATGAAACGAACCCTAGTAGTTATGAAGCTGAAACAGACAAAAAAAATTGCAGCAGCAAATGAATTTTAACGGAACAAANAGATAAAAAATGAAACGAACCCTAGTAGTTATGAAGCTGAAACAGACAAAAAAAATTGCAGCAGCAAATGAATTTTAACGGAACAAAATCAGATTAAAAAAAGGAAAGAAACCCTAATAGTTAATAAGGTAGACTAGAAAAAATTAGTAGCAGCAAGTCCAAACCAGTATATATAACCCAAAGAACATGAGAATAACCATTGTCTTCAGTTTACCTACATATAGATTTTATGATCTCATGAAACATTGTTCAGGAAGGAGCAGCAAGGTTAGGCCACGAGTTCAGCTGGAAAAAATAATTCATGGCATGTATATTTATTGTCATAACTATCATGCAGTGTACTGACCAGACTAGAAAAATACACCATGCGGTGTAATCAAAGCCTGAAACAATCGTATTACTTATACCTAGAAGAAGCCGGAAATGACAGTAGTGCTTTTCAAAGATCCTTGATTATGTCTCAAAAGACAGATCCTATCTCTTACCAAACATACTGATTTGCTTCTTTTTTTTTTCCCTAGCGAATTAATCAATCCAAGAACAAGAATAAAACTTCGAGAAGATCATCATTAATTAGCTGAACAGAAGAATATACATATTATGTGTCTTTCCGAACTTTTAGCTGTTGATATAACAAACCTAGCTAGAACAAGAGCAAGGCGTTAAACATGCATACAAACCATATCTGGTTGTATACTAATATTCTTAATTTTGTTTAGAAACATTTAACACCTAATAGATGCTTATAACCTAGAGAAAGGCGATTAGATCTCAGATTTCACGTCTTATATCGAATTTCTATTTCATGGCTAAATTTAAGGAGGAACAAAACTGAGGAGGTCGAGATTCTGTCTAAAAAGAGAGAGAAATCATATATGTGGCGTTGATTATCAACAACATCAAAATAAAACCAATCATCAAAACAACATAAGTAAACCCTTGAGTATTGCAGACAAAAGAAGAGAGATGACAAAAAAAGTCAGTAGTAAGTGTTTATACCCAGATAGAAATAATCCTTGCTGAAGCTTAACTGCACCATACATAGTAAGAAGAACCCGTGAAACTCAGGATAGATAGCGCCAGTTCTTTGTGATCTAAAGAACACAGAGAGATAAATCCTCCACATCCATCATCACTATCCAAGGCGCTATCCCTCCTGAGCTTTACAGATCCTACTATACTGTCTTCTTGCTTGAAGATCAGAGAGAGAGGCTCTCAACCAAGTTAAGCTATTATCTCAATTGGGTTTTTCAGAGAGCTCACTTGGTGGGGAGGAAAAGAAAGGGCATGAGAGGTTTTATAGGGAAAAAATTGGGACGTGTGGGACGTCAGTCATGGGTCATTTCTATTGGGGGCATGAAAAGGGTTGGACCAAGTAAAATGGGGTTCGATTGTGGAGGCCGGAGGGGTCAGAATTTTACTTCATTTGTTGAATAATTTATGTAAATTCAATCCTTGCATTATGCTTTCTAACTTTATACGCTGCCGACTACGTTGCATTCCCCTCTTATTGGGAATACAATAATGTGGAATGGAGTGGTTTATAACTTTATACTTATACATGCAATAAAACTCCTTATTTTCTGCACTATTGCAGCTTTGACGGAGGACAACAATGATTTTTTTTCGTATAAGTCCGGAGGAACATGCCACATATTTGAGGCTTCAAGACCCTCAATCATGGCCCTAGATCTATTTTATGTAAATACAAGTATAACGGAATGTCACTTTTGAAATTCAAGTTTTTTTTAGCACGTATGATTAATTATAATTATTATAAATCTCATATATTGTATTTTTTTTTTTAGAGTTCTTATATTGTATTTGAATGAATTATAATCTAGAGACAAAAATAAAATGAAAATGATATTTATTTGAATGAATTACAAGTGTGGAATAAGAGCAAAACCAAAAAAAATAAACAAAAGAGAGTAGAATATAATCTCTTGTTTTTGGCAAAGATAGACCACCAGCTGACCAGCATGTTTATAGCATAAAGGGGTTGTTTATTCGATGGGTTATATGGGATTTGTTAAGGAGTGTAATGCTGGTCCGTAGTTAGTTCGGAAGATTAAACTCAAACACACGAGTTTCGGTACACCCAAAAGAGGTGGGTTTCATATGTGACAACTTAGGATGTTAAGTCAAATGACCTTTCTATCTTTAATTAAATATCTTATCCACTAAATATGAAATTTATAAGTTGACAAAAAAAATGTATACTTAAACAAACATAGGTATGAATTGAATTATCTTGTGAGCATTTTAGTTAATTACATGAGAAATATCAAAATTGTGGGTCCCACATATGTATTTTACTCACCAAACAAGAAATTGGGAATGATTTGTATGTGAATCACATTCACCAAATGGGGGGTTAGGTTTGAGTAGGGGTGGCAATCGAGTCGTGTTGTGTCGATTATTAGTCAACTCATACTCAACTTATTTAACTATTTGTGTCGTGTCGAGTTAACATGTTTATTTCCGTGTCGTATTCGTGTTGATTTACATAAACTTTGAATAAAAAATTTAACTNTATCATGCAGTGTACTGACCAGACTAGAAAAATACACCATGCGGTGTAATCAAAACCTGAAACAATCGTATTACTTATACCTAGAAGAAGCCGGAAATGACAGTAGTGCTTTTCAAAGATCCTTGATTATGTCTCAAAAGACAGATCCTATCTCTTACCAAACATACTGATTTGCTTCTTTTTTTTTTCCCTAGCGAATTAATCAATCCAAGAACAAGAATAAAACTTCGAGAAGATCATCATTAATTAGCTGAACAGAAGAATATACATATTATGTGTCTTTCCGAACTTTTAGCTGTTGATATAACAAACCTAGCTAGAACAAGAGCAAGGCGTTAAACATGCATACAAACCATATCTGGTTGTATACTAATATTCTTAATTTTGTTTAGAAACATTTAACACCTAATAGATGCTTATAACCTAGAGAAAGGCGATTAGATCTCAGATTTCACGTCTTATATCGAATTTCTATTTCATGGCTAAATTTAAGGAGGAACAAAACTGAGGAGGTCGAGATTCTGTCTAAAAAGAGAGAGAAATCATATATGTGGCGTTGATTATCAACAACATCAAAATAAAACCAATCATCAAAACAACATAAGTAAACCCTTGAGTATTGCAGACAAAAGAAGAGAGATGACAAAAAAAGTCAGTAGTAAGTGTTTATACCCAGATAGAAATAATCCTTGCTGAAGCTTAACTGCACCATACATAGTAAGAAGAACCCGTGAAACTCAGGATAGATAGCGCCAGTTCTTTGTGATCTAAAGAACACAGAGAGATAAATCCTCCACATCCATCATCACTATCCAAGGCGCTATCCCTCCTGAGCTTTACAGATCCTACTATACTGTCTTCTTACTTGAAGATCAGAGAGAGAGGCTCTCAACCAAGTTAAGCTATTATCTCAATTGGGTTTTTCAGAGAGCTCACTTGGTGGAGAGGAAAAGAAAGGGCATGAGAGGTTTTATAGGGAAAAAATTGGGACGTGTGGGACGTCAGTCATGGGTCATTTCTATTGGGGGCATGAAAAGGGTTGGACCAAGTAAAATGGGGTTCGATTGTGGAGGCCGGAGGGGTCAGAATTTTACTTCATTTGTTGAATAATTTATGTAAATTCAATCCTTGCATTATGCTTTCTAACTTTATACGCTGCCGACTACGTTGCATTCCCCTCTTATTGGGAATACAATAATGTGGAATGGAGTGGTTTATAACTTTATACTTATACATGCAATAAAACTCCTTATTTTCTGCACTATTGCAGCTTTGACGGAGGACAACAATGATTTTTTTTCGTATAAGTCCGGAGGAACATGCCACATATTTGAGGCTTCAAGACCCTCAATCATGGCCCTAGATCTATTTTATGTAAATACAAGTATAACGGAATGTCACTTTTGAAATTCAAGTTTTTTTTAGCACGTATGATTAATTATAATTATTATAAATCTCATATATTGTATTTTTTTTTTAAGAGTTCTTATATTGTATTTGAATGAATTATAATCTAGAGACAAAAATAAAATGAAAATGATATTTATTTGAATGAATTACAAGTGTGGAATAAGAGCAAAACCAAAAAAAATAAACAAAAGAGAGTAGAATATAATCTCTTGTTTTTGGCAAAGATAGACCACCAGCTGACCAGCATGTTTATAGCATAAAGGGGTTGTTTATTCGATGGGTTATATGGGATTTGTTAAGGAGTGTAATGCTGGTCCGTAGTTAGTTCGGAAGATTAAACTCAAACACACGAGTTTCGGTACACCCAAAAGAGGTGGGTTTCATATGTGACAACTTAGGATGTTAAGTCAAATGACCTTTCTATCTTTAATTAAATATCTTATCCACTAAATATGAAATTTATAAGTTGACAAAAAAAATGTATACTTAAACAAACATAGGTATGAATTGAATTATCTTGTGAGCATTTTAGTTAATTACATGAGAAATATCAAAATTGTGGGTCCCACATATGTATTTTACTCACCAAACAAGAAATTGGGAATGATTTGTATGTGAATCACATTCACCAAATGGGGGGTTAGGTTTGAGTAGGGGTGGCAATCGAGTCGTGTTGTGTCGATTATTAGTCAACTCATACTCAACTTATTTAACTATTTGTGTCGTGTCGAGTTAACATGTTTATTTCCGTGTCGTATTCGTGTTGATTTACATAAACTTTGAATAAAAAATTTAACTCTAAGATTTTTTTTTCACTTAATTGAATCTCTCCTCATACTTTTTCTACAAACTAAAAATTAACTTAATAATAATAATAACAACAATAATGAGTAATAGTATCTTTTTTATACAATAATTATGTCAATACTTGATAAACAGTTACAAATAATTAATATTTTATTTATATAACTAATTAAATATGTTAATTGTACATTATACAACCAAATTAAACATCAAAAGTAATGAAAAAAACAAGTCATCAAAACATGAAAACTCATACATGCAACAAAAAGGCTAAATCAATCTCCTTCGAATTAAAAATTTCGTGTTAACGAGTCAATTCGCGTTAAACGGGTTGAACCCGAACACAACTCATTAACACTTCGTATTAACGGGTCGTGTCATACACAGGTCGTGTCAAAAAATTAATCAACCTAAACCCATTTATTCGTATCGTGTTTCGTATCGAATTATCGTGTCGTATCAAAAATTGTCATCCCTACATTGGAGAGAGTTTGATAAAACCAATCCAATCCACCGACACCAAAACCATCCAAAGATGCCCTAAAGGTATACTAAATCCAAATGATTGAAATTCAAGCTCTAATTTTCATTAGTACACTAGCAAATAGATATTATCACCTAGATTTGGATCATTTTATTACATTCTTTTTCAATAATTGATCACCTATTAAGATTTGATTAAGTTCCGCAGTCGATAAAAATAGGCCTCTAGTCATAGATGAGAGATATGGTCTAACCATTT